TTTACTCGCTCCGGATGCTTTCCAGTACGGCTCGAGCTTGTACCATGTGCGTCGCACTTCCGACATTTTGTTAAAGATCTCGAATTGAATATTTACCGTCTTGTTTATTTCATTTCCCAAGTATGTGGCTTCGAATTCCTTTGCTAAAGGGGTACCATCGTCAAAATGGATGGAACCATTATTAATGGCGGTTGCGACACATTTACCTTTATTGAGTCCCAAGCCATATCCTTTGGACACGTGCTCGGTGAGACGTAACAATTCATTTAACCCTCTGTTGCTTCTTGAGAAAAGCACTGTGTCATCTGCGTAAAAAATCATGTCAAAGTCCACCCCGGGGATTCGGTTGTTAGTAACATACGATGAGACGCTCTGCTGGATATCAAAGTCTATGCAGGTCATGACTAAGACAAAAAGAAATGGGGATAATGGACATCCTTGACGAATCCCGGAGGCCTGTTGCTTAGTACTGGATGAACCAAAATTATCTTTGACGAAAAACATAGGCTTAGAATAACAATCCGCAATGACCTCAGTATAGCGACGGCTGAAGCCCAGTCGGCGCAAAGCAAGAATAAGCTTGTCATGTTGAATTTTATCAAACGCTTTTTCCCAATCGAGTAGGGCAATGCTAAGGTGGGCCCCCTTAATTTCTGAATAGTCCTGAATCCTTCTGAGAATGTATATGGCATTCGAAGTTGATCTATGAGGTCTGAAACCGTACTGGGTTCTTGAAAGTACTTGCTCCGTCCCGTCCTGCATCCTGGCCCTGATCATAACCATGTATATTTTGTAAAAACTGTTTAACAATGAGATTGGTCTATAGTTAGCGGCAATATCGGTATCTCCCTTTTTGAAAATTGGGACAACACGGGCAAGAAACAATGCCGACAGCGCTGTTTGGGATTCCCACCAAGTGTTAATAAGATCTAGTACAACGCGCCTGTTGGCATTGTCAAGCCACTTAACCAGTTCCATGGTTATCCCATCAGGGCCTGGTTGTTTGTTGGGTTTCGCCCTTTTAGTTGCTGTACAAAGTTCTGGCATCGTGAAACATTCTTCTAAAGCATTGTTATCTTCAAGTATACTGCCAGTGTTCACCGCGTGTTCCACTGGATTAGTCCAATGTATTTTTTCGAGATAGTCTGCTATTGTTTCAGCTCTTTGGCTCAAAGGGACATGCTTCCCATCTAAGTTTTTCATCTTAACATAGTTTGGAACAAATTTCTTCTTTAAACCCTTGACCACTTTCCATAATCCCCTCTTATTGATGTCATTTGGGTTTTCGTTAAATTCTTCTATCAAACAAATTTGCTTGTCCCGTCGAGCCATGCGAGCAATTTCTCTATTAAGGTCTGCAATATCTTTCTTTGTCGCACCGATCCGCGTTTTTTCATTTCTTTCCTGGATTTTTTCCCATGTTTCATGTTTGATAAATTTCTTTTTATTCTCCCTCGGCTCCCTATCAAGTGCATCATCTGCTCCCTCCAAAATAGCTTTTGTAAAAATGTCTAAATCACATCGCTTGCCGTCTAGTAGGGAACGAGCTTTATCGTTGTAGGCCTTCCATTTCATAGGGTCAGGTTTGGAGTAACGTTTAGTTTGGAAAGAGTTACCTTCTTGCCCACACATCGTTGTCACGGTAAGCCTACACTCTAACAAGAAATGGTCTGAGTCAAACCCAATGTCTTTTCTGCTTTGGACATCTAACACAGCTCTTTTCCCTTCGTTGGTGATAAGCCAGTAATCAATTTGCCCGTATTTAATAGCATTGAATGGGGGACCATTAGTCTGCTCATTTTCCCCGATATGTATTTTCTCTTTATAAGTAATTAATTTATCGGGTGGTTTTGAATACTGGCTATTCAGAATGTTGAGACCATGAAGTTGGCAAAAACAAAGGAAAAGAGCTCCGTTTTCTTTTACCGCATCACTCATATTATTCAAATAATCATTCGGCCGGGGGTTCACTTGGACCCCCCCAAAGCCCCTCATCTGGACCCCCCCCATTCTAGGGGGCGAGAGGGCGGCGAGAGGGGGCGAGAGGGGGCGAGAGGGGGGGTCCAGACGAGGGGCTTTTGGAAAGGGGGGCGAGAGGGGGCGAGAGGGGGTGGGTGGAGGCGAAGAGGGGGGCGAGAGGGGGCCAGAGGGTCAGAGCAAATTCTAACATGGACGGGGGGCGAGAGGGGGCGAGGGGCGAGAGGGGGCGGAGACGGAGAGGGGTGGGTGGGGGCGAGGAGGGGGGCGAATGAGGGGGACAGAAGGTTCAGCAGGCTTTTGGATCGGGGGCGAGAGGGGGGTGGGAGGGGGCCAGAGGGGGTGGAAGGGGGCGAGAGGGGGGCGAGAGGCACAATTAGATTCATTGGTATCAAATCAACCAGCACCCCTTGAACCATTACATTCATTGGTATCAAATCAACCAGCCCCCCTTGAACAATTACATTCATTGCTATCAAATCAACCAGCCCCCCTTGAACAATTACATTCATTGCTATCAAATCAACCAGCCCCCCTTGAACAATGACATTCATTGGTATCAAATCAACCAGCCCCGCTTGAACAATTACATTCATTGCTATCAAATCAGCCAGCCCCCCTTGAACAATTACATTCATTGCTATGAAATCAACCAGCCCCCCTTGAACAATTACATTCGTTGCTATCAAATCAACCAGACCCCCTTGAACAATTACATTCATTGCTATCAAATCAGCCAGCCCCTTTGAACAACAACATTGATTGGTATGAAATCAACCAACCCCCCTTGAACAATTACATTCATTGCTATCAAATCAACCAGCCCCCCTTGAACAATGACATGGAGTGACCCTATTTCCGTCCCCACGCTCATCATCGTATGCTGTCCATAATCACCTAGTCCCCGGCTTGAACAATTACATTCATTGTAATCAAATCAACCAAGCAGCCCCCCTTGAAAAATTACATTCATTGCTATCAAATCAACCAGCCCCCCTTGAACAATTACATTCATTGGTATCAAATCAACCAGCCCCCCTTGAACCATTACATTCATTGCTATCAAATCAACCAGCCCCCCTTGAACAATTACATTCATTGGTATCAAATCAACTAGCCCCCCTGCCCCCCTTTGAACAATTACATTCAACAATTGCATTCATTGCTATCAAATCAACCAGCCCCCCTTGAACAATGACGTTCATTGGTATCAAATCCACCAGCCCCCCTTGAACAATTACAATCATTGGTATGAAATCAACCAGCCCCCCTTGCACAATTATATTCATTGGTATCAAATCAACCAGCCCCCCTTGCACAATTATTTTCATTGCTATCAAATCAACCAGCCACCCTTGAACAATTACATTCATTGCCCCCTTGAACAATTACATTCATTGCTATCAAATCAACCAGCCCCCCTTGAACAATTACATTCATTGGTATCAAATCAACCAGCCCCCCTTGAACCATTACATTCATTGCTATCAAATCAACCAGCCCCCCTTGAACAATTACATTCATTGGTATCAAATCAACCAGCCCCCCTTGAACCATTATATTCATTGCTATCAAATCAACCAGCCCCCCGTGAACAATTACATTCATTGGTATCAAATCAACCAGCCCCCCTTGAACAATTACATTCATTGCTATCAAATCATCCAGCCCCCTTTGAACAACTACATTCATTGGTATGAAATCAACCAGCCCCCCTTGAACAATTACATTTTCATTGCTATCAAATCAACCAGCCCCCCTTTGAACAATTACATTCATTGGTATCAAATCAACCAGCCCCCCTTTGAACAATTACATTCATTGGTATCAAATCAACCAGCCCCCTTTGAACAATTACATTCATTGGTATCAAATCAACCAACACCCCTTGAACAATTACATTCATTGGTATCAAATCAACCAGCCCCCTTTGAACAATTACATTCATTGGTATCAAATCAACCAACACCCCTTGAACAATTACATTCATTGGTATCAAGTCACGCGGGATACGAAATTACGCGCGCACGCGGGATAGGAAATACGCAGGTCTGGGAAGCGTACCCAACAATCGCAAGGGGGAACGCCGCACACAACCAGACACGCAGGGGGGACGGAGGAAGGTGGGATCAAAAGATCCCTATGCATATATATATATATGCTGTGTATCCGGCCAAACTGATTACTCAGTATCTGGCGTGTCCGATCATCATCCTCCTCATCATCGACATCATCCTCCTCCTTCACATCACCTACTCAATCCAGGTAAGTAAAACACACACACATCCACATCATCATCATCATCATCATCATCATCATCGTCATCATCATCATCATCATCGTCATCATCATCATCATCGTCACTTATGGGACCGGATAACCCCACATGCCAACTTCTTCCAAAAGCAAAAAACAACCAAGAAGATGGGAGGGGAAAGGCAGCAAAGGTAAAGGAGATGGTGGAAGACAGATTGTGTGAAAGAGCTGTGTGTGACAAAGTTGTATGTGACAAAGTTGTGTGTGACATCATCATCATCATCATCATCATCATCATCATCATCACCATCACCATCACCATCATCACGATCATCCGTCATCATCAAAATTGTCACCATCATCATCATCACCATCATCACCGTCATCATGATCATCATCATCATCATCATCATCACCATCACCATCATCATCATCATCACCATCATCATCATCATCACCATCATCATGATCGTCCATCGTCATCATCATCATCATCATCATCATCATCATCATCATCATCACCATCATCATCATCATCATCATCACCATCATCACCGTCATCATGATCCTCATCATCATCATCATCATCATCATCATCATCATCATCATCACCATCATCATCATCATCACCATCATCATGATCGTCCATCTTCATCATCATCACCATCATCATCATCATGATGATAATCATCATCTCCGGGACCCTCTTTTCGCAGCTAAAAACGCTACTTTCTCACATTCGACCCTACCCCAAAATGGGGGTAGGGTCATATGCGAAACCATTGGGGTAGGGTCAAATGCGAGGCGCGTACCCTTCTGCTGTTTCGACCCTCACTGGCGGTTCCAGATAAATCATGATAAATCAAGCGAGCAGCAGGTTGCAAAGAGGCTTGTTTCATCTCATCTAGCAAGGCCAGTGCATGCTGCCACACAGAGCTTCGACCGCATGCATGGATACCTAGCTCCCCAGCACAAACCACCGAGAAGCACAAATATCAAACCATATCAAACCCAAAGCCTGACTACAAATAGACTACAACAGCATACAACAGCCCAAGATAGCGCCAAAGATAATAAAGATATCGAAAGATCTGAGAAGATCTGAGAAGATCCGAGAAGCTGGAATTGTAGGTAATGACATTGGGTTGCACCCGCATGCTGCGCATCTTCCCCAGCAGCTGCAAGACTTTGGTCCAAGTTCCCAAGCTGCCCAGCTGGGAGATGACTTTGGTGTGTTGCCGAAGCGCTAATGGCGCCATCAGCGCGGCCCATGGGAGCTCTGGATTGATTGACGAGTCAATGAGGCGATTGAGAAAAACCTTGGCTTGAGCCAAGCTCTATAGAGATTCAAATCAGCCAATGCAAAATGTTGATGGATGTCATTAGATGTTGTCGCAGCTGAGGGTAATGGCTGCAACCGCACGAAGTGAAATTTAGAATGCCTCCTTTTCTGATGCTTAAAATGCCACCGGATATGGCAGCCAGGCATCCTAAGGCTACGCTTCTTGCGGGCTTCGAAAGACACCACAGAAGAGATTGCCATTGTGTCTCTTTTTGAACAGATTAGCACCCACAGTGAGAAGTAGGAAACACCTAGACTATCCTAGACTCATTAGCTCTTGAATTGGCGGGACATCTGGCGCATTTCCAAGGACGTTCAGGACTCAATATCTGGCAATCCCTCAGGATGTCCGAATCTCTGTGCCCTTCAGCTCTTCAATGGAGCCTTGTCTTCCTTTTTCTTGTCCACCTGAAGCCGTGCACTTCTAGGAACCCTGAGTTGCTGGCCCGACCTTGCAGCAAAAGGTTGCAGTAGTAAATTGAATGTAAAACATCATGGATCATCGAGCCAAAGCCAAACACTTCTTTGGTCCAAGAGTTGGCCTTGATGTTGGACCCTGCGATGGTAGTTCCTCCAATGGCTAGAGTCAAAAAAGAAAGTGCATGGAAACACTCAACGTTGCATGAGGCAAGAACATAATATTGCAAGATTATAAGTTATACATATAACTATAACTTTATATTAGAAATGCACATAGATCACATCCTGTCAGAACCTGCCAAATTACCTGACTGTGAGTGATCCCCACCCTGACATATTATTCTGCCATTCTTTCTGCCATTCTATCTGACATGTATTCTGACATTCTATTTGCCATTCTATCATTCTATCTTGCATTCTACTAGTATCTGGCATCTATTCTGACATTCTATCTGGCATTCTAGCAGACACATGTTCTGACATTCTACCTGGCATTCTTTCTGGCATTTTATCGACGAGCTGGCAGAAGCAAGAGGCGGAGACGGTGGACGAGGACGAAGGAGGAGAACGAGGAGGAGAAGAGGAAGAAGGACCGGGCAGGTGGAGAACAAAAACATCAAAAACATACATCATTTCTCTGAGCTGTTTCGATTTTGCCAACCCGGGCCACAACGTTGGTGATACCGAAATAATGATCCCCCAATGCTCCTGTCTTTTTGCCGTGGAGCGCTTTAGCCTTCTCCGCCTCGGATGATGCAAGAGACATCCACCTAGTGCACCGGGCACCTATGAAGTGTGGCCTGACAAAATTGACATGCCATCATCATGCCATCATCATGCCATCATCATGCCATCATCACATCATCATGGCTGCACATTTGAATACCTTTGATGTTTCATGTCAAACAGATTCCCTGAGCGTCTTGTCCTCACTTGTCTGAAGACGTCTGGACAAGGGCTGGCTTGGGCGAGCGCCGATGTGAGCTTCACAATTTGGATCACATCTTCGTCATGCAAAATGTGATCCTTGCCACACACCTGAACCAAGTGCAGGGACACCGACCGTTTGAAACTCTATCTGACAATTACAGTATATATAGGTTAAGTTATACCCCCAAATCTACTGGTTAATCATCTTCCCTATTGAAACACATTAAATTTGCCACTTGGGGTTGGAGGTATGCCCCATGGAACTCATACATTCTACAACACCACGAGCCCCATCACTTTCTCGGCCCGCCTGGGGAGATTGTTTGACGCTGCTGCCCCACACGAGGGCATGCTTGAAGTCTTCCAGCAGCGATTCTAGGCATGGCCAAGTGATATCAAGTGATGTCAAGTGCAACACTGTCATTGAAGTAATCACATGCAAAAGCATGGAGAAAGGCTGGTGGGTGGTTTCAACTCCCATATCTCCCATTCCAAATAGCCAACTGATCTTCCAGCTCAAGGATGGAACGTGAGCATGTCTGAAATTACCAACCAGCTTGTAAATAGCACAGAACTCTAAAATAGCAGGAATTACATTGTGAAATAGCGTGAATATGTATATAAATCCACATGTCTGCAGGTCTATGTCTTGGCTATACTCTCCAAAAAATGTGGCAGTTGAAGTTTGTATGCGAGCATCTGTGCAACAGCAGCACGGCGTTTTCAACCGTAAACTGCTTGTTTCCGCGCTGTGGAGTGATGATGATAGGGTCCTTGGAAGGCAAAAATCTGAATTTGATGAGGGTGAAATGATCATATATCATATATTCATATATCCTGTTACATACCCTCTGGTGAACTAACATAGCAATGGAAAAGCACCATTCTTAATGGGAAAATCCACTATAAATAGCCATTTTCCATTGCTATGTTAGTTCACCAGAGGGTAAACACCATGAAATCACATGGGGTGAATAGCGGCAGCAACCTCCACGCTCCATACATTTCCATACACCGTACATCAAAGCAAGTAGCCGAGAAGTCTGGAAACTGGCCTTTCTTCTTGGTGTAGACCCTGCAATGTCATGCAATATCAATCTGACAGTAGGATCCCAGGGTCACAGAAAATACCAGAAAATAGAACAATGCTGCTCAAAGATCTATTCATCAATGGATTGGTTTCAGGGAAATTCACATGAAAGTCCCGTATTTCATGGGAATCATGGGAAATCCAATGGAAATCCATGGTTTCCTATAGGTTTTCCCTTCAACTCAGCTGTCCAAGGCAATGCCGCGCCTGAGAATTTCCATCTCATCCCACAATCTACGCAGGAGAAACTCCTCAGCTCAACTGATCTCAATTGATTCAACTGGCCCTGGATATCCCTGGATATCCCTGGATTGGTGGATTCATGAGATTCATATTGCATGAAACGAGATGGAACGCTTGGCACATGGTCCCGATGCAAGTTGACCTTGAAATGTAGCACTGTAGCATTATCAAATCATGCGGTGCCGTTACCTCCCCTGACCACTTCGTTCCAGGCAAGCAGCGTAATTCCATTTGTTTTGAACCTCAGGGTGAATCAAATTCCGAAAGTTCGGTCTCCTGCTCAGCCACTAGTTATAGCTTCATGATTGGCAAAGTGCCAAGGGGATCCAAGGAGCTGAAACGACCACGGATTGTGGTCTTCTAGCCAGCTCATCCACTTCTTCGAGTTTCAACAAATCTATCCTCGGTTTGATGAGGTGGTGCAAGCCCTGTTTGGGGCAACCACCAGGACACTAGCACTGTCATTTCTACACGGATCTTGTAAGTATTGCATGCATGCTATTGTATGGTATTGTCATATTGTATCATATTGTATCATATTGTATCATATTGTATCATATTGTATCATATTGTATCATGATTCATGTCTTGTCTTCACGGCGGCACAAGGTCAAGATGCAGCTCAAGAATTCGCATCCAAGCTGCTTGTTGTACACGTAAATACCTCTGCAGACATAGAAAGGCTCATTTTCCGTTGTTTTTTGGAACAGCCAGGTGTAAAACCGTTGCAGAATAAATGCCATGTCCATGCAAACAGCGTGGCCCAAAACCATACTGAAATAGGCTCAGGTGCATTTACAATACTTTCGATTTCCGTCAATGACGTCGATGAAATCATCTACTGTGATGTCCTGCAAGTAGACGGCCACAAAGTTTGCACGGGCTTCACTGGGGACCAATGTTGGCGTCTAAACACGCGAGCATCAAACACGCACAGACACAGCAATCCTCTCTAACCAACACATCAGCGTTGTGCATCTTGTACCTCATGGCTCTGGCTGTGGGATGCAAGACATGCCGTTGCGGTCACGTCGGACGAGGCCCAGGCTGCTTCAGCACTGTTGCACAAACCTCTTCGTCAAAATGGTTCAGTGGAACAGTCGCCTGGAACTTCAATCCTCCAGGGCGAATCACCAGTGATGCAACACATGGCTAAAAACAAAAGAAAGAAACTAGGGCTAACCATGGCTAACCGTTAAAACTTCAAAGATCTGCAAAACGTAAAACATCACAAAACCACAGAGCAAAGTATATCCACTCCTCCTCCTTTCGTTTGTCGCACTGTCACATCCGGAGGTTTCCGATTCAATCGGATGCCGACATTCTCCAACTCCTGACCATTCAAAAAAAAAACAGATCAACTGTTGAACTTAAGCATCGACGCTCTGGGATCACCTACAAAACACGCTAACCAGAAAGAATCAGAAATCGTTTCAGTGTCCAGCACCAGCTTCGCAATGTCCTTTGTCAGCATCTCCTTTTGCGCATCATCCTTTGTGGGATCTAAGACCTCAGCGATCAAAGCCAGCTAGAGCCATGATCCACCTGTATAATGCGGCAAGTAGGCCTTACTATATTACTATAAAATGCGTTGAGGTTTTCTGATGATGGATCAAAACGATGAATGTTGGCTTGTTTCAATCTGTACTGACAGTTTTTACCGAACCCCAAATATCAGTGCGTCCCCTGCTTCTGTCAGCTTTTTCCTGAATGGCTCATGCTGAAAAATAGATTCAAGATGATTCAAGTATAATATATTATATATATAATTCTCAACTCTGGAAGATTGTACGCCCAGTGCGCTTTCCAGAATTTAAGATCCATTAGACTGTCATTCTCAAAGGGTTGATCCTTTAAATTCGCATACATCTGAGCAAATTACTATATTTTACAAACCTGAAATAAGGCCATTTTGGAATGATTTCCCTTATTAACCATGATTCCAGTGAGGTCGCAGTGAGGTCGCAGTGAGGTCGTTATAATTTACCCGGATACATGTATGTAACCTCGAAGCACCTCAACATAAGCTGCTACAAAAATACACATCCAATTTTTAACAACCCTTCGTCCAAAAAAAAACGAGGGTTTCATGACAGCTTGATTCCTACAACATACAACTCGAAACCATCCGATACCAATGTGTGGACCCTAAAATGCACCCACTACAGGCGGGTCGCAAGTTGTTGAGAAGTCCCCGACCTCCCTGCACCAAGTCACCATCAAAATGATGTCGCAAGACTTGGCCGTTGCCTGCAGAGTCACGGAAGGGCCCCACGGGATCTGTTGGAACAGCTATTCCATGCTATTCCTGCATATTCCTGCATCCTACCTTCAGATTCCCCCAGAATTCCATGGCACAATATTTGTAGTTTCTGTGGCTTCTGCTCCCTCCCTCAAATTTCTCCCAAGTCACAATGACTTGTCGTCCACGACCTTTCCCAGTGGAAGCACCTTCAGTGACCCCCTGGACTCCTGGACTACTGGGTTTCAATCATGTTGAAGCTACTGCTACTGGTGGAAAAGGCCAACCCAATAACAAACCACAGCCAATTTTACCACCGTCCCAATTGGTAGGTCTTAAAAAAAAGTGGGTATAATTCCCATGGCTTTTTTTAGCTATTTACCATGAGTTCCCCCGAGTTGCCCCCCATCCCATACTGGCTTTTTTTTGACCCGGGCACCAACAATCAACCCGGGCAAGTCTAAGAGCTGGATGCGAACGTCATTGTAGTAGATCACCCCCGGGATGCAGGTCAATGTGGTGAACCTACCAAGGGAGCCCGGAGCCAAAAAGGAAGGGATCGCTTGATCCTAGGATATTCCCAAGGGGATTCCTATAGGATATCCTAGGATCAAGTGATATCAAGTGAGGAATGACCAGGTTGGGCATCAGTCTGGGCAGATCGTTTTGGAATCGGCGAACATTTCGATAGTTGGGGACCACCCAATTGCGGGCACAGGCTGCATCTGTCTGCCGAGGCCGCAACTCGTATGCAGCAGCCTCCGACCTCACACCAAGGTGGGCCATGGAAAGAGCTGCGAGAGTTGCATGGAAGGGGTGCAATGGCATGCAATAAGGGTCCATATGAGTCATAAGAGGCATGAGTGTTGCGGTAGAATGAATATGGGTTTGTCCAAATATGGGGTCCACCCCAAATCTGGCGGTTTGATGGGAAAAATGATGATCAATCATTGCGAGAGCACAATTTTTTCGGAGAGGTCATGACTCTTCTCTCAGTGCCACACTGTACGCCGGTGAGAGCTGTGAGCAAGGAAGACTTCCCGACTGAAGGAAAGCCAACAAGTCCAATGCGTGCATCTCCAATCTTCTGCACCTGCAAGTCCCACCAATGTCATGGCAAGTTTGGGGAATTCAACCCATCAGAAATCAACCGCCACCCTCATGAGGTCTTCAATGATTCAGACTCCCAATCTCTGTTTGCTTTGGCTTTGTGCACCTCGAAGCCTGCACACTTGCCGCCACCTGCGAAATCAAAGACACAAAGACACAAGAAAGAATCAAGGCAACACCTGCGACACCTGCGACACTTTCAATGTGCAAAGTGTCAGGTGTTGTCCTTTCCAGTTCTTCCAATGTTTGGGACACCCCATCATCCAGCTCCACCCATCAACATCATCAACGGTGTCCCCCGTGGTGGCTTGAAGATGCTTGAAGTCTGGTACCTGAATGTACCTGAAAACCTGGCCTCCGCCCGAAGGTTCCAGCAAATCACGCTTCAGCTTGCACAACTTGGCCTTGAGCCTTTGAACAAAATGAGGTTGTCTGTTGCTGATTTTGCAGGTGATACACTATGAAGTTGTCCTGAAATGTGGGAACATTTAACACATATTGAAACACCCAAGTGCGTTGAAATCGATAGAAAATGGGGATAAGGGAGGCCCTATTGATTGGTTTCCTGCACGATTTTTACGGAACCAAAAAATAAATTCCAATCACTAATTGATCAGCCAAAGCTCATCAAAGCTCTGAGATATGAATTCATCACAATCATATAAATTATATATATATATATTATATCCGGATATATCCGGTATACCATGGTATACCCTCTGGTAATTTAACATAGCTATGGAAAATCACCATTTTTAATGGGATAAAATCCACTATTTGTATGGCCATTTTCAATAGCTATGTTAGTTTACCAGAGGGTACCCTCCCCTAATCAAACACTTGGAAAATCCCCCATGATTTTCCCAGCCGTATTTCAACCTCCAGCAGCTGGGGACTCTCACTCTCCAAGATGTTTGGCTGTTGCCTTGGAACATCGGCCAGGGCAAAGATGAAAGGGGTACCAGATGGTACCAGTAGCATTAATAAAAACAGAAGCCTGCTAGGTGCCATAGGTCCATAGGTGTCAACATATCAAAAAATATCAAAAAATTGCATTCAAACACTGGAAATACTGAAAGTATCTGAAAGTATCTGAAAGTACTGTCCCAATGAAGTATGACGCAGCGCCACAATCAGTGCAGTAATTTCCGACGATCTCAAGCCATGTCCAGCACCTTGTTCTTCTGCGTTCTGGAGATCTCCAACTCGATCTGCTGAATCCGCTCCAAAGTGCTACCGCCTGTGCCATGTTTTTCGAAGATGGTCGTCCCCGCCATACAGTTTCATAGGGGTTAAGATACCCATTATGGAAATAAATCCTGAAATCCCTAATTAAGCCTGGCAAAGTCAATGACTCCATTATTAATTTGTGTTTTCGTTGTTTCGAATTTCAAATATACACATTCAATCATATTGAATCATACTGAGTCATATCAAATGATATTTTGAAATAACATGCATTATGTTTCATCATACCAATACCCTATGGTTTCCATAGCCATTGTCAATTATCTTGCACGAACATACCATGGCCCCACCTCCTCCTGCAGATTGGTGCTTGGCTTTCGCCCAGCCACCTCCACCAACGTTGCTGCCAGCCTGGGGGAAAACACTGATGAATCACACGGTGATCGCATGGCATCACCCGTAAATTTACTTTCCTAGGTCATAGTAAATTTGCTAGGCTAGCATTTACAATTTACTTTCCTAGGCCATTGCAAATTTACTAGCCAGAAGACCTATTCCAGTCAGAAGAACGATTCCAGTCAGAAGAACGATTCTTGCCGGAAGAACGATTCCAGTCAGAAGAACGATTCCAGTCAGAAGAACGATTCTTGCCGGAAGAACGATTCCAGTCAGAAGAACGATTCTTGCCGGAAGAACGATTCTTGCCGGAAGAACGATTCCAGTCAGAAGAACGATTCTTGCCGGAAGAACGATTCCAGTCAGAAGAACGATTCTTGCCAGAAGAAAGGTTGGCAGAAGAACGATTGTTGGCAGGAGAACGATTGTTGGCAGAAGAACGAATAGTTGCAGGAGAACGATTGTGGGCAGGAAAACGATTGTTCGCAGAAGAACAATTGTTGGCAGGAGAACGATTGTTTGCAGGGTGGCGATTCTATCCAGGAGTGAAATAGCTGTTTGTCCAATATGTTTTTTGATGACTTACTTTACTTGCACACATTCTCGTCCCAATGATTTCCTGCAGAAACAAGCCAGAAGAACGATCATGGTCAGAAGTATGAATGTTGCAGTAGAATGCAAACTGCTACCCTATTTACATGGAGCATTTGGGTCATAGAGCATATGAGCTACGACAAATGAGAAGACAAGCTGCCAACATTGGTCCGAGATCGGGGAATGACACGAGAAACTTAAGCATCCCAACATGTCAAAATGATTGCATGGAATTCGCTGCTCGGCAAAAAAAAGCACAGAAAAGAATTGAACAAGCTACCAATTTCGCACAAATGAAACGAAACGCTGATCATGAAAACATCTAGAAATTATTTCACCATGACAATCATGACACCATTAGATAAATACCCTCCAGTAAATTAACATAGACCCTGGTAGATAGGGGTTGGAAGACTAGTTCCCATTAAAAATGGCCATTTTCAATAGCTATGTTAAATTACCAGAGGGTAAATAATATTCAAACAATAGAACATATGCCCATTTCCCGTGAAAGCCATGCCTTGGCCGATGACTTTGAATAGGATGCCATGATCAGCTCCGTCAGCGTCAGGGCCGTCAGGGTCGGTACATAGGCATGGCTACACTGAGCCAATGAAAGTGGATAGCTGCTGGTTTCTGTGAACTACCCTCTGGTAAACTAACAAAAAACTATGGAAAAATCCACCATTTTTAATGGGATAATCCACTATTTGTATGGTCATTTTCAATAGTTATGTTAAATTACCAGAGGGTAACTGAACTAAGTTCAGTCCAAGGCCATGTTTAAAGTCACATTGCTGAAGAGGGCAGACTTAAGTGTTGTTTTCATCCGCACATGTTCAGTCACATGGGAAGCTTATGGAAGCTTGTAGATGACCTAATGCCATATCAGTAGCGCATGTCTCCATGCATTTCAGGCGATTGAGCCGCCAAAAGCTAAAGATCGCTTTTTAGGGTGATGCCCGCAGTAAAAATCATACATCTTTGGCAACCCCTGGGCACGTGAACCATGTATATATCATCATATATCAGCGCATTCCCATTTGGAAAGAAGGGGAAAAAGGTGGAGCAAAGTGCTGCTCTGGGCATGGTATGCACATGATCATGTAAGCAGAACAAGTTTCACCTGTTGCATCGCATCTGTCACTCCGTCCCTGTCAGCAACTCTCTGTTTCTTTTTCTTGTCACGATGTCGTGTCATACATCTCCGAGTAGTTCCATACCTTGCTGGCCGGGCTACAGATTTCTCAATTCAGTGGGTTGTGACAACAGGTCGGCCACAAGAAACTTGCCAAGACAAATCAAGGGTGCAAAACTTTATTATGCAAGAGTTGAGGTGCCGTCGCAGCGCTTGGTGTGAAACCCAAGCCTCCGTAGAAAGACATTGCCTCAGTGGACAAGGCGGCGCTACACCATCTCACCCGACCCACCCATCTGCAATCCCTGCTGCCAAGGAACTGAAGCATTTTCGGAGAGGCAAAACCAGGCGATTTCGGGCAAACCCGCTTCTTGGCATTCAGCAAAAACTCTTGACATCAACGCCTGAGCAAATGATTTTAGATGCTCTGGCTTATCTCCATGTAGTGTTTGGCAATGTTGGATGAGGTTGCACGCCCATGAAATACCATAAGTCCAAGCCCTTGAGGGGACGGGGGCATATATATATATATATATAGGGTGAAGGACCAATGAAATTTTAGACCAGGAAACTACATCGCCAGTGAGAAACAACTCTATATATATAATATTATATAATAATATGGAATCTGAACATAAACTCATAACTGCCAAAATACAAACATGTACTGTAGTCCCCAAAGCACCCTGTGCCATGTTTGGGTGATACTATGTGATATGTATTATTGGGTCCCCCAACCCTGCAGCAACTAGCTTCAACTGTTTATAGCCAGGACGCCCGCCCAATGCCCTTGCCTCAAGGATTGTTCAATGGCAACATATTTCCACAACATCTTGTCATGCAAAGCAACCAACATTTTGCCATCACTTTAGCCCTATTCACATTATATAAACATTTGGAAACGTAGAATAATGTGCGATTCTATATGATCATGAATATCATGAATATCAATCAATCATATATCTTGAATATCATGAAAGACCTCTACAAGCTCCAGAAAACAAGATAAAACAAGCATTCATACGCCATTCCACGCCTGATGCTGCTGGCGCCACAAAAATGTCCTGCAGAAATCCGCGCCAGGCTTGAGGATTTTCGGCATCCCAGGCGTCGACCGAACTGGGTCGTGGCTGCAGAATGACGTGGGCGGCACCCAGAAAAAGGCTGCTGGAATAGGCCACCAGCAGCCGGCCCCTCCTGGCACGGTGACACATCAAATATATTCAAATATCATACTGTACATGATCACAAATGAAGGGTTTTAATATGTCGTTAATGGGATATCATTGATATGATCGACACATGGGAGATTTTCCAGCCATGTTTGATTTTCTGGAAGGCACACCTCTGAAGACAAACATCCAGACCCAGTTATCCCAGTTCCTGCAGGAGATTGAAATCAAACTTTCGAACAAGGGACTCTTGACATCTCTTGGATTGGTGAAAATGGATCCCTTCAGAATCGACCATCATGAAATTGCCATAAATTTTCAATACCAGAATTGTTGGGAAATGTTGGGAAAATCATGGAAAATCTACAAGAAATCCATAGAAATCCCAACACAATTGGTGGCATATTTTTCCCTTCAATCCATCATCGAATTCAACCCGCTCCAGCCATGCTTCGAAGATGGGGGGGGCGCGTCAGCACACAGCGCCCAAACCTGGCATTGCTGACCGTGCTGACAGAATTCAATGGTCGCGTTTTTCCACGGTTTTCTTGCAAGTTAACAGAACGGATTTCTTTGTTTGGGCAACAACTGCATCAAATCCTGCCACGCAGCTGCGTCAGTTGCAGTCTTGTCATCCGTGAAGGGCGGTGACCCTCCCGGAATCCTTACTGCACAAGTCTGGCCGAAAATTTGCTGAAAGAAAAAAACCGATGCGCATTGATGTCCAATATGGCCTGTGAGAGCGTCATATCTTCTCACATCAAAATCACCAAGTTTCTCTTCAATGTTCTGAATATACTTCAGACAAAACCCTGTGGTGCCAGTGGTGCCAGTGGTGCCAGGAGACTGGGAGATGCGATATTCGCGGAAAAGGGCTTCCCACTGCGGCCAGTCAGAATCATTCGCAAGTCTCACCGTAACATCCTGCCAGGTAGGAGAGCAATCTGCTTCGTAAGGATGGAAAGCGCCTTTTGAAATCACCAACCAATTTATGTTTGTTAATTTGTATTATATAATTTGTAAGATCATTTTCGCATCCCACAATTGGCGTCAAATAAACGGTCACAATCTGCATCATGTTCATTGATTTTTTTCCTAACCCGTACAGCTCCAAACGCAGGTCCTTGTGCATCTTCGCTGGTATTGGCTCCGGTGTGGCCGAAAACCAGCACACGGGTACGGGTTTCTTGGCGCCGGTACGGCTAGGGCAAGCAGCTATGAGGAATGGTAATGACTAAGCTGTGCCGGATAGTGGCCGATGTTGCATGCTATTGATTGGCAATGTTTTAAATTAATTTGCAAAACAAAGTGCTTCCATGAACTGGTAGTGAGATGATTATTTTTGATTATTCATATGAATAATCCATCATGGATTATCATTCCAATAATAGATTATCATCAATTATAATCCCAATAGTTTATTATAGTTTATTATTATGCAAAATGAACGGAGGCATCTTGGTGCAAAACAGTGTTTCAAACCAAGGATCTGCACCACTTGGAGCTGGACCCGGTTGGTGCAGCACCAATCTCAGGAGCCTGGGAAGGTTTCCCAAGGTTTGCAGGGCTTCCGCACTGGACAAAGGAAACCGCGGATTGGAACTGTCAACATCTCACAGTCTTGACGTATCTGAGCACTGTTCCTGAAAAACCATTCCCATGTTTCTTCACTAGGTGCTCCCAATCCAATGGCAAAACGAGGAAAAAGAAAGAACGCTATTTTTGTCAACCAGGACCAGGACCCATCGATTCATTGAAGCTGGGCGAAGCTGGCCATCAGAAATATCTGAACCCACCCACCAAACAGCACCCTACGGCGCACCTCCAGTCCGGGTGTTTGATTTGCAGCCCGGGTGCTGGATTTGCCAGCGCCACGGCCGCATCCGGGTCCTGCCCCGGCTCACATTTTGAGTAGCAGATAGCAGCACAAATCGCCCTTGACATGTGGTAGTTCCCTATTTCATCCTATTTCGGCATTTTTTGATGGCATTCTGAAAATGATCGAAACTGAAACAACCACATGCATTTCGTAAGTATACAATTGCATCAACCATACATGTGTACACATCATCATAAATCATCATACATAATTCAAGCACTATAGGCTATATATATATAATACGTATTATATATACGTATATAGTTATATAGTTATATAATTATTTCGTTAATCTAATCATTTGTGCTTCTGAAGTAAGGCGGTCTACCACGGCCCACTTTTCCGCAGCCGCTGAATGTAGCTGATCTTTGTCACTGCGCGTTGCTTCCACCAAACCACCAATAACACCTGCAGGCTTTTGCGTTAGAAAAAGTCAAACAAGTGATCTGGGTTTGTCTGAGAATGTGGGTGCCCCCGAAAAAATGTGTTCCATCTATACTCATCATTATCATTGTTCAATGTTTTTTGACAATTTGGAGGGTATACGGTATACATCGGTAATGATAGCCTTTTGTCAGGCACACCCACATCTTGTTCTTCCTGACTCACTGATCTGTCGACATCCTTCAGTCAATGGATTGGTTTAAGGGAAAATCTACAGGAAACCATGGTTTTTACCATCAAATATAGGGCTTTCCTGTAAATTTTCCCATCATCCAGTTCTATGATTCAGCCCCCACCTCTGGCGGTTTGGCGGTATTCGAGAACAGTGACGCTCCACGGATTGGGAGCGTCCAAATCTTCCACGGAAAGCTCTGGAAGCGTCATGCTGGCCATTGGGTCAAGACGGTCAAGCCATGTCAAGCCCTAGCCTTCGGAAAAATGTAACAGGCTGCTAATGTTCGCTATGGAAAACATCTCGTTTAATTAAGTTACACGGTTGACCTATTAAAAAATATGATTTCCAATATCCAATAGTATAGCTGATCATAATATATTAGGACATTCTCTTGTTTGATGCTTTACAGCTGAGTACAGGTGAGAGTTGTAGCATGTTGTAGCGCTTGTAGCTGAGCTGGAACGCCCCCACGGTCGGAGAAATTAACTGTACTCTTTCCAAGCCATGCCGCTCCATGTAGCTTGAGACAGGTTGATTGCAACTCGGCAGAAAGCGGCTAGGCATCGGTCTGCAGTTGATATCAACACCATCTCAATCTTGGATGTGATTCAGTGCATGGGATCAAACTCTGAGCCTTTTTGCACCCTGTGCGGCCGGGTTTCGACAAATGAGTCTCTGAGCCGAGCTATACAAAGACGCGCGGTAATCATGACGTTGCCACCTACCACACGCCCGTTGGCTATCGACTTGGCACATGCCAAAAGAGAAACTGTGGAGCCAGACTGGACCGAAAATGTTCCTGCTATGCCCCTGAAATATCCTGAAAGCGATGTGTTCGAAGTAAGGCAAGTTTGTTCAAGCTTCATCTTTAAGTCTTTAAGGCTTAAACTTGTTCAAACCGTTCAGCTTCACCAGTGGAACTAGAAAGGTCCAGGGCTGAAGATTGATCTGGTGTCGCAACTGGTCAAACAAACGCAGCAGGCCATGGAATTACCTCCCCTCTGAAACACTCCATATCACCTGCACCCTGTGCGGCCGAAGACCAACACTAGTCAGCCATGGGCGCGCCATGGGACAATGGCATTGGTTTCCAAACGGGCCAAAACACAAAATCAGGAGTGAGGCGATGTCAATTCCGAAGCACTGCCCTGTCTTTGGAAAATCTAATCAGCTGCTACCCTCCAGTATTCCAGTGGAACCCCTTGAAGCCTCTAATGGGCTGCAAGGTGCTTCATGGAAACTTGAAACGACTGGCATCGTTGGATGCAAATGATTATGAAAGTTGTTTGACCCAATCTCTTTGCCTTGCACAATCATGGTTGCTTAGTAGATGGTGACATGCCCTGGAGGAAAAAAGAAACTAGCAAACACATAATGCTATGCCAAATCCTGGGGCAAAGAATTGGTGATGATTTATTGCACAATAGTTGTTGCAGATGGCAGTCTGCACAGGACAGCTTAAGGGTTTGCCATGGGCTGTACGAAACCACCATCCATGGCTGCCTTGCTGTTGCGGCGGGGGCAGTCTGCGCAGGCAAACATTGCCGGTTTGTCTGGGTGCAAGCACTGCGTCTTCCTGCCACATGCATTGGTGGCAACTTCCTCACCAACAAAGGCTGCCACAGCCATAGGCTGTGTGTCCAAACCCTCATCCATGGTTGCCTTGCTGTTGCGGCGGGGGCAGTCCGCGCAGGTAAACATTGCCGGCTTGTCTGGGTGCAAGCACTGCGTCTTCCTGCCACATGCATTGGCGGCAACTTCCTCACCAACAAAGGCTGCCACAGCCATAGGCTGTGTGTCCAAACCCTCATCCATAGCTGCCTTGCTGTTGCGGCGGGGGCAGTCCGCGCAGGCAAACATTGCCGGCTTGTCTGGGTGCAAGCACTGCGTCTTCCTGCCACATGCATTGGTGGCAACTTCCTCACCAACAAAGGCTGCCACAGCAATAGGCTGCGTGTCCAAACCCTCATCCATGGCTGCCTTGCTGTTGCGGCGGGGGCAGTCCGCGCAGGCAAACATTGCCGGCTTGTCTGGGTGCAAGCACTGCGTCTTCCTGCCACATGCATTGGTGGCAACTTCCTCACCAACAAAGGCTGCCACAGCCATAGGCTGTGTGTCCAAACCCTCATCCATAGCTGCCTTGCTGTTGCGGCGGGGGCAGTCCGCGCAGGCAAACATTGCCGGCTTGTCTGGGTGCAAGCACTGCGTCTTCCTGCCACATGCATTGGTGGCAACTTCCTCACCAACAAAGGCTGCCACAGCCATAGTCTGTGTGTCCAAACCCTCATCCATGGCTGCCTTGCTGTTGCGGCGGGGGCAGTCTGCGCAGGCAAACATTGCCGGCTTGTCTGGGTGCAAGCACTGCGTCTTCCTGCCACATGCATTGGTGGCAACTTCCTCACCAACAAAGGCTGCCACAGCCATAGGCTGTGTGTCCAAACCCTCATCCATGGCTGCCTTGCTGTTGCGGCGGGGGCAGTCCGCGCAGGCAAACATTGCCGGCTTGTCTGGGTGCAAGCACTGCGTCTTCCTGCCACATGCATTGGTGGCAACTTCCTCACCAACAAAGGCTGCCACAGCCATAGGCTGTGTGTTCAAACCCTCATCCATGGCTGCCTTGCTGTTGCGGCGGGGGCAGTCCGCGCAGGCAAACATTGCCGGCTTGTCTGGGTGCAAGCACTGCGTCTTCCTGCCACATGCATTGGTGGCAACTTCCTCACCAACAAAGGCTGCCACAGCCATAGGCTGTGTGTTCAAACCCTCATCCATGGCTGCCTTGCTGTTGCGGCGGGGGCAGTCTGCGCAGGCAAACATTGCCGGCTTGTCTGGGTGCAAGCACTGTGTCTTTCGACCACAAGCGGCTGTCGAAGTCTTGGAACTTGCGGCACTCTTTCTTGCAATTCTGGCCTTGGATGTAAAATGCATTAATTAATCAATGCTTTTGTGGTTGTATGCACTGCGCTGCCACATTGACAGCTTTCTACATTATCATGACCACTTTCTTGCCATTTATATATCCAGTGATATCCAGTGCATTTCAGTGCAAAAAAGCCGCCTTGGATCTTTGGGAAATGGTCCTCATCAAAGTCTCAGCGACTGCAATTCTGCTAGCAATCAACATGGGTATGTATCACCAAACGAATCATTAGCACAAATCTATACAAATCCGAGAAGTTGCCTCTGCACTCCGGCAATGGCAGCCACGCAAAGACCCATAGGAAGCACGGACCCCTGCCAATGTTCACTCTCCAAAAACGAATGAGCTCCAAAACATGGACTACACCGAGTAGAAAGTAGTTGAGGAAACACGAGGAAACCGTCATTTATGTATTAAAAATAACATAAAATTCTGCGGCATCATGTGGAATGAAAATTAGCCTCCAGTCAGCAAGTTCATTTGAAGGCAAACATCCCTGCCTTGGATCCTCCAGCATTTGAGCTGGGCAGTGGTGCTGAAGGAGCAGCTCCTGCGGCACGATTGATATTGGAACCTTAGGCCGCAGCCAACATCCTGATCTATCCTCACCCCAAGGTTCCGCAACTCCAACAAGAATAGGCTTAGGAATTTTAAGCCGATCTGACAAGTATCTTCTTGATTTTTTCCGCCTCCTGCCTGAGAAATGAACTGGATTATATCAAATGATATCAGATTATATATATATATATCATGATATATCAGTATACAAGAGCTGTAACAGTGCAGTCCAGTGAAGTCTGAAACTCTTCTCCTGGCAAGCGGTCTGCTGGCCGGAACGCCTGTCCTGCAAATATTCAAACAGTGTCGGATCTGGAAGAAATTCTGGAAGCGTAGAGGATCCCTTGACATCATCCACAGTTGACTGATGGCAAGTGTGGCTTGTCCAATCTCCTGCCATACTTGGTGCCACAAAAGCCATGTGTGCGCTCATCGAGGCAGCCTGGACTTCAAGATGCTAGACAGAAAGTGGGCACACATGTCAAATAGGTTATATGAGGTTTCATTGAGCATCATTGAGCCAGTTTTTCTCAATCAGTCCCATTTTGCGGCGCTGACGGCGCCTGGTGCGTTTGTTGCAATTGCAAAGCGGGCGCAAAAAGACGCGAAAATTTGAGCCACTGGGAAAGGATTGCCATCAGGTAAGAACGACAGGCTGCCGAAACAGTACAAGTGGTGGAAGGAACCCCAAGTTCTGATGAGGATTGTTCAAGCGTGTCAGCAACCAGATGCAACCAGGAGCACACACACACACACACTTTTTGAATGATTTGAATGCAAATGATTCCGCGAACCACGAATTACAACCCAACGCAGCTTGCGTGAAGGTCCTTTCGTATAGGCGAGGTGAGACCGTGAAACATGCACTTGGATAGCAACCATGCCAGATGCTCGACCATTTCTCAAGCATCAGGGCAAGAACCCAAGTGTTCAATTTTTTGTTGAAAATTGCACTCAACAAAATCAGACAAGGTAGGAACAAATAAAGACGCATACGTACATCTTTAATAGATGTTGAAAAGGATGAAGAATGCAAGTGAAATGAAGACATGTGCTTTCGTAACGTACCTTTTGAACAAAAAAACGCAGTTGTTAAACATTAAAACATGGGCGGTTCAGCCACTTTTTCGAGGTACTTCTTATGCCTAGCCGACACGCTTCGACACGCTAAGACCGGGGCCCCTCCCTGGATGGCGAATCGCTATGCTGATCTGAGGCCTGTGCCTCTGCCGAAGGTTGAAGAAAAAACGCGTCTGATAATCGTCGCCAGGGAAGACCTGGGAAAATCCACATGGCACTGGAGCATGGAAGAAATGGAAGAGTGCCAGGTGACTATGAAAAGACTACATTTAAGAGGACTATGTCCAAACACTGGGGCTCAGCCTTTGATGTTGATGTACATATATCTCTGTGTGTGTGTCTGCTTGTTGCAATTACATTATATATATCATTACATGATTGGGTGGTATGTGTTTATATCAACTGCACTTCATGGCTCACCCACTTTGTGTTCTTCGATTCTTCGGTCTGTCTGCCTTGCCCCAGCTCAGACCTCAAGTCCACCGAGCTGCCACAAAGTCATGTGGAGGCGGTGATGTGGTGTAGACCTCTTGCAACCTTCCGGCAGCCCGGCAGCCCTAAAGCAGCAAAATTAGATCACCTGGTCATGGATCATGATCTAGCCATGACAAGGCCCAACATGGATGATCATGGATGATTCACTACTCAAAACAACATTTCTTGTTGTTTAAACTCCCCAAAATGGATGATTTAGAAAACTCTGACCTCTTAAGATCAAGCACTCCAAATATGTTCCATTGAGCCTCCATCGACCCATACCACCTGAACCTCATCAGCTCACCCTGGTCCTGGCCTGTCCAGCTCAAGGTACATGACCTGGTCGACCTCGCCCTTTGCCAAGGAGAGGCTCCTCGGTGAAACAGATTGATTTATCATGGATTGATTTTTGTTTGCCAGGCAAACCATGATCAAAAACCACAAATAAATCAGTTAATACCAATTATACATATTATATATATATATATGTGTGTGTGTGCAGTCATCCGTTCATTATTCATGGGGAGAATATGGGAGAATAAGGGGAAATGATGACCCACATTGACCCATCATGCGATTTCCTGGTACCAGATTGCGAACAAGCCGAAATTTGAAGCATCAAACGTTTGGCTTCGAAGTCAGCTGACGTTTCATGGCAGTCCAAGGCGCGTCAAGTCTGGAATTACAGGGCATGTCTCCTGCAACAATGATTTTGGTGAATCTGCTGCACAGAAGTTTATAGAAGTTTCAGCTGTATACAGCAAACCGCATATCAATTTATGATCTTTATGCCTCACAGAACTTGCTGTGCAAACTAGACAGCTCGCCACCTCGTTTGGAACTGACAGCCTCGGTGCTGTGGTTTTGCACACTGGATCCAGCAGGGTGAGCCTTGCCGACAGCCAATTGCTACCAAAGGACAAGTACACGTCGACAACTTGTTTCAAGAAGGCGTCGCCACCAGTGTCCATCTCGACCAAGGTCTAAAGACACAAAAAGAAAAAAGCGGAAGAAATTTCCAGCAACACAATGTATACATATGGCATATATCAAATATCATATATCATATATCATATCATCACATATCATAATGATATCCACCATTGATGATTAGACATGATATGACATCGTAAAATATCGTGACAATCCACAACGCAGGGTACAAGTGTTATAGTTGTGTTATGGCATGTTATGGCACTTGAAGGCTGTGCTGCCATTGGGGGCCTGAAATAGATACTCGAAATCGTTCTCCGTGACATTGCCAAGTCCAACATCATCTTTTACCTGGCAGAGCGGGCATCAATTGATGATGCTTGAGGTTGTTTTTGTTTGTCAATGGGTAAAACGAAATCCTTCATTAAGGTGGCCCATTGGGATATAATCAAAATTCATCAAACATCGCAACAGAAATCTCCCATTTTTAGATGATGTGCCCATTAGTTGGCCATGTTTGAAGTGAAATTCCCAGCCAGCCATGTTTGATTCCCAAAAGGTGGTTAATTTAAAAGTCCGTTGAGAAAGCGCTGCTGCTGCAAAGATACTGACTTCAGGGCTGTTGGAAGGGCTGGATCTCCTGAAAACACTGGCCCCGGCGCTTTTTTGGAAGGATGTGCAGGATGCCAATACCACTCTTTCCACTGGAATACTAGCTGGATCTAGCTGGATTGGTATGAGTTTCCATTCACCATTCTTGAGATTGATTCAACCGCCTGTGTTACAAGATGGACAAGCTGGGGTCCAGTAGCTGGGTCCTGCCAACAAGTTTAGCCCTGATGGAAGCTTCCAGCATTTGCTGTGTCAAAGAGCCTCTGTGCCTCCACATGTATTGTACTTGCTTTTGGTCACCTTACACACGTTACAAAGTTGTTGACAACATTTTACATATTGAGTAAATACATCAAACCACATCAAACCAAATAAAACAACCCAACAAAAACCCAAAGGAAAAACAACATCTAAATAGATATATATATATATACACCATACATACTGTAAACCATATTATATAATTACAGTAATATTATATTTATATATATATATATATATACAGTGTATATATATACCCTATATATATATATATGCACAGTAGTTAATTATAAAGCCCATGTTTTGCTGACCCGTCAGCTCTGCATCCGAGCTTCCCATCTTGATGTGTCCCGTGGAGCAGTTCCAGCGCCCTCCGAAGTGCCGCTTCTTTGGCGAGCGTAGCCTGGACCCGAAGGAAGCCTGTGATCCGTATGTCACCTGTGCATGATCCATTTTTTAATATGGATTATGGATGTATATTATATGGTATGGTTAGAATGAGAATATATATATATAATTATATATGCAAGATTAACAATTAATTATGTATTTGCATGATATGATTCAATAAGTAGATTTTTAAATATTTATTTTACTCATGGGATTAAATCCAATTGGATTGGATATGATTGGATCCAATGTACAGAATGTTTGCAACTAGCTCATGGCTACAGCGTCTAACTCTGGCCAAGAGTCAGAAGCAACAGCCGGCAGGATTCGACGTCAAAGACCCAAACCTCACTGCCAGAGCCAGCTGTCAACTATACCCTTCCCACCTATTCCTCATTACCTATATAATATTAATACTATATAAGACTATATATTTGAAGCATATCATATCCAAACTATTGTTTGATGGTGGAACCATGCATTTTGCGATCTGATATGGGGCTATAATGGGCTTTACTGTTGGTGGGATTGGATGCTTATGTGGAATGGATGCATGTTGCCGACGCTGGTTGTAGGACATCGCTGCCTTCATAGCCTCCCATCCCAGATTTCCTTCAAGCGATTCCCTCACTACAAAGCCTCCATGGCTGCCCAACCCGAACTCAGCCAATGTTGCACGTTTTCCCCTGACGAAATGGCGAACCAATGTGAACCATGGAAACATATGGCAACCCATGAAAACATCCCGGATCCAGAATGGTTCCGCGTCATTCTGCCAGTGAGGACAACCATCGCCAGCTAAGCAACATGAACTGCTCGATGCCAAACGCTCCTGGCACGGTCCGGTGAGGATCCCCTGTGGCAGCCCTATGGCAGCCCTATGGATCCCTGGAACCGTGTGTCTCAAGGGTGGAGCCAAGGAACTCGCTGTATGCATCAATTCTCTTGCAGGGTTCAACTACTACCTGGGCGGCCAGGAATCAACACATGGCTTTTTAAATACACACGGAGCCAAGCTTTGAAATGCATGGAAAAGCCCGAAAACATTGCAGAATCATCCATGACAGCAGGAATGCATCCAAGAGAAAAACAATGTATACATATATATATATATATCTATCAATACAAATTCCAGCAATCAGGACAAGTTGCACCCAAATCCTGTGCCCGCCGCAGCTTGTTCACATCTCCAATTCGATCCAGCAATTGCTGACCTTTCTTGTTGTGTCGTTCCTGCATTTGATGCACGGGATGATTTGACTTGCTTGAAACCTCTCAGCCCAATCGGCTCTGGAAATGATCAAAGCAAGAAATCCATAGAAATCCATTGTCAACCACAGGCTAGCCAGAGCTCGCCTCATCTGAGTCTATCTTGGGCAACATCTCAATATAGATCCGAATCTTTTTGTGCAGAAAGTGGAACAACCTTCTCCTGAGAAATCCACAACGGCAGGATGTCTAGGTCACCAGAGATGCACATCCAGCTGCGTGAACTCAGGGTCTGACGCATATTCTGGAGTGGAAACCAGCACAAAGTTCGGATCCCTCAGCATGTCGTTCGTCGAGGCCAGTGATGCAACTGATGCAACAAAATTCCCGGTTCTGTTGTCCCAACAAATATCGCAGAACAAAGCCACAAACCGCGGTGTTCCTGTATAAGGCAGCAACTGATTCTGATATGCCTGCTCCAACTCTCCAATTCCTGCCAGGTTGAAACGGTTGAAAAAATGCCAGGTGCTGTCACTGATCTCAACTGGACATAACGCGGGCCTACATATTTCAACTCGGTGGCTTCCTTGATGTCCTTGGAACGGAAGGAAAACTGGCACAAACCATTGGCTGCATGTCAACACATAGACGCATCATATCAGCTGCCACAGACTATAGTTGTATGATGTGTGTATATATATTATTATATATCTATCTCTCTCCCTCTCTCTTAATGAGTGAGCCAATATATATAATACTGTACATAAAAAATAAATAAACAAATAAATATATATATATATATGTGTGTGTGTGTGATATGTTATAAGTTATATATATATATATATGCATATGAATTTGCATGATGTCATGATAATATGATTGCTATTTAGCGGGCATATCATATGTTTCAGCAGACTTGAGACCAACACGTAGTAGATCTTATGAAGCTCAGGCGGCCGCTTCCTGCAAAGGCCATCGTCAGGCAGCCAAGAAGAAATGGCAAATAACATCAAAGAAGACAATGCTCATAATGCACATAGGTTGATGATGGGTTGATGATGGTTCATTCAAAATTGTTCAATCACATTGTATGTGTTTGCGCGCAGGCGTCTCACATTATTGAAAAAAAACGCCTGCACCTTCTTTGGGTTTGGCTTTATGTTGTACCACCACATGCTCAAAGATAGGTATATAGCTGATGTTGTTATACATTATTATGATTCTATTTCTATTCAGCTGTGTCTGAAGGCGGGGGAATATCCACCAAATGGCCATTTCACCAAAGGATATATGATGATTATTAAGCGTTTAACCAGCCAACCAGCTGGCTTAGGTGACACACATTTTTGAAGACGCAACATGTTTGGCAGATTCAGGTGAATCAAATGGAGACTTAAGACTGATTTGAACAAACTTCGGTCAGCTATGAGCCGACAGAATGCAGGAGAATCCAGGAAGCATTGGACGCTGCATGCAACTTAGACTTATACATTCCAGTCTGGTTTGCAGCTATGTTGCAGAGACACCACGTAGACATCTATCCTTGGCTTCAGCTCTTCGTCGGCAAACAGTGGTTGCTATGGACTGTGGCCGTTCATGAAGGCATCAGAGGCTGCTGAGGCCAGTGTCAATTGCTTGATTTCCTCGCCGTTGGCGACCGAGGTGTTTTTGCAACCTCGGAAAAATGCGGATGGAATGCTTCCCATAAGCATGTCTGCAGCACTCACATGTGATCATTTGGCAAATAACATATGAATATATAAAATGAACCAGTTGCTACCTGTGCACTGGCCACAAGCATTGACCGAATGGATCCAAATGGATCAAGGTCACGGCAAAGCGGCGATTTTTTCTGCAGGGCCAAGTAGCTAAAAACAAATTCATACATATGGTCCTCGTAGCGCAGGCCAGATTCCGTGTCCAAGTGATGCTTACCTGAAATGACAGGGCTGCTTTGAGTCATCAATGCGTCTCTGGGTAAGCTCTTCAACATGGCTGAATGGGCTAAGTTGACTAAGTCTTTGAACCAAGCAGCATGCTTCTAAGGACGGCATGCCAGACCTAAGACATTTGGCAAAATGTTTTTTTTGCCGGCAAATCTCATACCTTCCAGAGCCATTGTATGTATTATATTTGTTTATAGGTTTGTTTGAAAATTAGGCACCCCATGGCACCCATTGCTTCATCATATTTTCCCATTAAATGGCCATAGGGCTGCGGTTTATACATCGCTTTCAGACACACCCAAATTGGATGGAGTTGGATATATATATATATAATATATATCTATATCTATCTATCTATCTATCTATCTATCTATCTATAATATATATATATATATATCCCATGTCTGATTAGATGGTGATCAGAAAGCCATTTTTGGATGGTGAACTGCCCTTAATGGGATGATTGCATCGACACCGTCGACACAGTTCGTCGCCACTAAGGACCCCGGCATCACGAAGCCTGAGGTGCCTTGCAACATTCTGCAACATGGTCAAGGAGGATTCTGATAGGATTCCGTTTTGCTGTTCTGTGCAAGCTGAGAAATGCTGAGAACGCACAACCAGACAAGCTGCAATTCCACATTCCTCCAAATCGTTTCTTCTCCTGGCCAGGGATCAACAAAGGTGAACAAAGTGATCTTGAAGCTTTGTATTTCTTGATGAGAAAAAGAAACTACTATACATGAGCCACATCCGAATCTGTGTATAGTGAGCCGCGGGATAGCAGGGAGAGCAGTGAGCGACAAGCTCATGCTGAAGCATGCTGTTTGGTTCATGTGGGTATCTTTAGACATTTAGACAAGCATGAATGCAAATGGACGTATAACACCTTGGGCAAATATATAATATGAATGTTTCAAGATATTTTAAGATGCTCAAAGATGCCTAAAAGATTCCAAAAGATTCCAAAAGTACATGATGCCACCAAAAATGTTGTATAATTACATTGAGTAACTCTCCTGTAGCCTATCATTCCTATCGCATGGTAATTATGGTAATCATGGTAATCACCTGCGCAGTTGCGAAAGAGATGATCATCCAAGTGGCTGGAGCGCGAAGCTGCATGAGAACAGCACCTGACCAGCTTTCACAAAGTCATGGTACCATTGGTACCATCAAAATCATCCAAGTGATAAACGACCATTTTAGTATTGAAACATGTTGAAACCCATTCTTTGGGGTCTTTTCATACTTTTGGGGAATCCCCCATTTTGAGAAACCCTTTAAAAATTGATAAAAAATTGAACAGCGCGGATTTACAATGGTGTACGAATCCGGGGCTGACCGAAGTGCGGATGTCCACCGACTTTGAGACAAGAGGCTGTCTGGCAGGTTGAGAACCCAAACGTGGACATATCTATGCCTCATTTGATCGGTTTGGTACCAGGCACTGCGAGCTGTGGAAACAACAAAGTCAGGTCGCTCATGGATATATGATGTCTACTAGGTTTGCCCGAAACTATTGCATTATAGATTCTAATGTACCATGTAATATGGATCCATATGGTACCTCAAATTCAATGGTTTTTGTTTTTATCATCATTGTTCCACGATTTCATTGATTTTCCCCATATCTTCGTGGCAATGTGGAGGTATCCCTATCTGATCGCGCTTGCCAGGGCACCACAAACCCTTCTCGGTGACGGCGCCGCGCGTCCGCGTAAAAATGCAAGATCCCTGGCCACAGCAACGCAAAGATGTTGAAGCCTTGATCATGGGTCATTAAATGTCCCCATTGAACATCACCCAACCATTAGGTATATGGTCTATAATGGCTACTATAAGGTGATGTCCAATATACCCAAAATGGGACATTTACCAATCCCTGTTGATGGCATCAGTGGGGATGGGTCCTACTGGTCCCACCTCTGCATCCAAAGTGTCTAAAACCTGATGGTCCTTGTTCTCCTTGACCTCGCATGTGGGCGGCGTTTGTCACAGGGTTTAAGTTGAAGACTAATGGATTGCATGGGGAAAGAGTTTGGGAGCCGCTGATTTGAAACATTTTGAAACTCTGTGGCAACAGAGCCATTCAAAAATAACCTCTGAAACTTGCAGTACATTACCAGTGGCCGGCAAGCAGCCACAAGCGGATTGCCATCATCTTCTGCCATAGTCTGGCGGCGCAAGCCACATTGAGAGGGCTTTTTTGCGGCTACAGCTGAGGTCGAGTCCACAGCCAATGAGCCAATGGCCAGAGCCACAATTGTCACAAGGTCGAGTCCACACGCAACAACCAGCTACCCATCGATATCATCGATTTTGTCAGCCCTTACGATGACCTCTGCTTTGATTACTTAGAGGATCTTAGTGGATTCCCTCAATTTTCGCAACCCCCGGATGATCAACAGCCCAAATGTTTACTAATCCAAGGACAGCTTGATCCTTCAGCCTCAATGCAGCTGACCGGTGAACGTACCAGTACGAGGTGTATCCAGTACGATGAAACACAGGTACCAAGATGCTTGTTCGAAGCCATGAAAATCAACGCCATAGGTATGAGAATGTATGAGGAGGGTTATGAGATTGTATGAGATATGTATGAGTATACATTGAGTATACTGCACCACACTGCGATTCATATCGATTCATGATATTTGCAATGCACACCTATGGGCCACTGATTGCCACAAAATGGCTCTGTCAGTCAGTCTGGATATAGGCTCTTTGCCCTGCCCCGTGAGTCTTTTCAGCGTTGCACTATGTTGCACTATCAAGAAATTCTCAGCAATCGGATTACGCTGCTGGGAAATAGTTACTATGCCATACAGGATGGCCCTATTGCAGACTATTGCAGTGTGGGTGTGCAACACCACCTTCCACGACTTGGCATTCATTCAACAGACATTTTGGACCAGGTGTTTCGCATTGTTTTGCTATGTATATAAAATGTACAGTACGTATATCATTAGGGGCCCTTAGGGGTCTTCCTTTTCTCATCCAATTCTTGGAGACATGTTTCACGCATCTGGGTTTGAGGCGCCCTCTTGGAACAGACACATTACGACACCCCGCTGAATATATTACCACCCGCTACATCCGAGCTGGATTTCAAAACTCGTTTCACTACTCGTTTCACTGCACTATGGACCACTGTGGCAATTTGGGTGTGGTGATGCCTCTGCAAGGCTTGCAGCTCCTTCTACTTGAGCCCCCCAGTCGTGCAAGGCTTGCAGCAGCAGGAGGGGGCTCACAATTGAACTTCTAGAAGCTAATCGCGGCGAAAGCACCACTTTTGGGATGGATGATATGGATGTGACAAGTATCTTGCCTGATTCTTGTGAGTGGGGTCCGCTGTCTAAAGCACGCCAGCTGGTTGCTGGGAGCCCAACGGGCTGGACACCAGCGAATTGGCCGCTGTTCGCTCTCAGGCCATTCAGCCCTTCGATTTTGGGCACACGTCTGCATGCTTCTTGATCCATCGCCAGGTGAGATTGATACGAGGACCTTGGTTTGAAGAAAAAAATGCGTACTCCCAGCAGCAGTACATCATAGTACAATATAGTACATCCATGTACCATTCAAAGAGGCCATGAAGTCACTGGCATGTGAAACATGTGAAACACCATTGGGCCAGGCAGCCAAGACTTTCATCGTCTCTGGCAATTCGATGCATGTAGTGCTTCTGCAGCATTCCCTGAGGATGCACTGGGAAGTAGCGCTCGAAAAATCATGAAGTAGCGCCTGCAAGAATTACATGATTAAACATATTAAAAGAAGCGGCTCTGCATCTGCACGGCCCATGACATTGTAGTTCTCAATTTGCATGTTGAGTATTTTGTTAAGAAATTGTCAGAGTGTCCACATCAGTATTCTCTCCCAGCTACTCTAGGCTCTGAAGCTGTGGCGAGGGGCAAGAAAATGAACGCAAGTTATCGACTAATGTGTGGTTGGTGGTTTCAACACAGAGCCCAAATTGCTCAATTGCGGATTATTGTCCAAGTAGAAACAAATATGAAATATGTAATAACTTATTTTGAAAAAATCAAACCACCTAAACACCAACCAGTCCTATTTGCTATTCATGGCTATGATAGCTATGGGCTATGGTTTATTCTTTTGGGGCTGACTAGATCCCTTGCCATCCCTTGCCTCCATTGTCGCCAACGCACCTTGGATGGCAACACCGCACTGACTGAAAATCATTTTGCATGACCATCATGACCTGCTGAGACAATTTTGATCTATATATATATATAAATAATCAATTATATATATAATTATATATAATATTATATAAATATATCTAAATTACTAAATGACTCACATTGACCCACTCCATGATGTTGCTTTATGATGCTATATGCCAGTAGCCTAGGCAAGCGATAAAGACGCAAGCCTGGCTAAGAGGCTCCTTACTGATGCTATGCCAAGACTGACCCCATGCCTTCCATGCCTGTTTCAAGGAGAGACTCAGCCCAGGCACCGTTTCCCAAATGCAGCCTTTCTTGAAGCCTCTCACCTTCCTGGAGAAATCTGCAGCTGGACCAAGGGGCGTTTTTTTTTGGGGGGGGGCTGATTATAGACCCCAATATCATTATCCCAACATAATTTGATACAATTTGTAGCCGGAAATGTGGGGAAAGTATGGGAAAGAAATGATAAACTGTGGAATCTAGTCCAAAAATGTTGAGACACGCCCAATTGATCGACTGGGGTTGGCTCCAGCAACATCCATCATCTGCAACGAAAGCAGTGCTGCAACGAAAAACGAAAGCAGTCCTCCGGCCAGTTCTTCCTTAAGTCAAATTTTCTTGGCTGCCCTAAAGACCTGCCAGAAGTCGTGGCACTACATCAGTGCAAATCAGTCACTAGTCACTACTCAAAGACTCAAAGATCTCCAGCAGGTACTGATCATTACATGCGTGCCATCTTGCGTTCAACCTAAAAATCATTCAGCCTTTCGCATTTTTTGCAGTTGATATAGTTGATTGAAAAACTTATTGGCAAAGGATGCAAAGGTATGAGCGCCATGCTCGAAGCATGATGAAGCCAAGAGGCAGCGAAACTATGGCAACATCTTGATGGAGACTTTGAAATAGAGCCTCCCAAGGTCCCAACTTAAGCTGAAGATATGCCATGGCAAAAGCTGCAAATCGCATCAAATCGCTTTGTTTCATTCCATTGAAACAAAACCTTCCAAACAACAAGCTGCAAATGCCCTGACCAGCGCAAGACACTTGGGTCTGTCTCAAACTTGGGAATGGTCATGAATAACCCAATTTAGGTTTTGGACACCCAATTCAAAATTCCATAGACTCTATTACTCTATGGACCGTGGATGACCATATAATTATCCATTTACGCATGTTCATTGCATCTCAGGCAGCTATGGCATGTTGTGGCATGCGATCATTGCCCTCAGCCAGCCTCATCATCAGTGTGCCAGCCCACCGCATGCGATCCATCCTCATAAAGATTCACATTGCAGCTATCTGGCCTCAGCTGAGCATCGATGGACCTCGCCAGTCAAGGGGTTCAACCGTCTTAGGCTAGTTGGTAAATGTTGGTAATATGCCTAGAATTGCCTAGACGTGTTCATGAAGAAACAAATATTCATATAGATGGGAAGACCTCAAGATCAAGCCAGGAAGCCAAAATGTATCGCCCTTCCCAATGATGTTACAACTGAGTTACAAGCACCACCAGGCCTTCCGGGCCAGTCCTCACTGATATGGCTGAGGCGCGAACCATTCCTCCTCGCTCTTGCCACAGTAGGGCATGTAAGTTCCTGGCGATGCTGGAACGATGGTTTGATGGTTTGGGTTGGTGGTTTGGATTCCTGGTCCCAATAGTAATAGTACAGTATGCGAATAATCCCTCTTCGAGTTTAAAACCCAACCCAAATCACCAGTTGACCATTGGTTGATCAAAAGGATGGCAGCCCTGAAAAGTAGATGCAGCCAGCTTCTGCTTAAGGCTTAAGATTTCAGAGGGCAAAGTGGAGAGGGAGGTGAGTCACCAGCTTTTCCACCAAGCTTGCAGTCATTTATACAACTGGACATATTCCGTCAATTCGGAAGGGCTGATATCTGCGTTGACTCCTCTGCGACACACCCCCAATAAGACAAGTCCAGCATACGAAGGAGCTCAGTCATCCAGTCAGGAAATTCCTGGGTCGATAGCAGTGTTCCAGATGGCCGTCATCAATCACAAGTATTGATCTTCATGACAGAGAAAGGACGCGATTTCCTTTCAAACTATGGGTAGGTCAAATTTAGAGCGTTTTTGCATATTATAGTTATATCTCTCTCTTGACATATATCGGTATAAGGGTATAACATGGTATAACATGGTATAACATGGTATAACTATATATATATACTATAATTCATTCCAGCAATTTCCAGCATATGAAAACACATTACGTGCAAGTACATATCATTACGAATTCACTCAACCGAAGGATGCCCACGCTGAAGAGTGAAATCCAAGATCTCCCCTGCGGCCCCAGGCCCGCCTGTGGTTTGATAGTGACACCTCGGCCAGTTTTCATGGTCATTTCCGAGAAAAAAACATCCAGGGCTGATATCGGATGTATCGGATGTATCAGATGTATCCATTATGGATGCTGTATGATGCTGTACTCGATGGTATTTCTGATGTTTTTTGGAGCCCTGGATATGAGATTAACATTGAGCAACCTAGCAAAAGCGCACTGTCACTCCGAGTCACTTCTGCTTAGTTCCCTTGTTGACTTTGGCATCCCAGTAAAGGGTTGTAGGCACTCAGTCGCAGTGATCAGTCTTCCGGCCAGGGCTCAAGTTTGGTTCCACGATCTTGTTTTTTTTTTTTTTTGTCAAGCTTGGAACCAAGGTACCACCATATCTGTAAGGGCATTGGCAGCCACTTTTCACCTTGGAACTTATCCACACCAAGATCACGTCAACTGCAGCAACTGCAAGAATCGTAGTAGTTTATACGATTTGAATCAATTTGATACGTCTTTTCGTGTGACTAATATGGCATGAAGCAGTGGCCGCCACAAGGAACGCAGTGCTAAGAAGGCCAGTGTGGTCCAAATATGTCTCAAGAGAGACTTCATTGCTCACACTTTCAAATGACGAAGCGCATGGAGAAACAAGCAGATGCGAAACGGCACAGCCCGGCACATTCCAAATATCATATGTAATCATATACGTAATATTTCTGATATCATGCTGCTGCCCTCAAGGCCCAAGTTCCTTCCATTGCTGTTGTGGAGTAAGGCTCGCGCCATCCAAACTGTCTTACGAGGCAACAGTCCCTGCGGACCTTCAGGTTGTTCCCACGCCGTCTTGCCCTGCATCAAGGCAATGAAAAATATGATATAATATGATTTTGCAAAGCGTGATCCAATCAATCCAATCTTCAATAAATCTTCACTGCTTTGCTTTGCTCTTTCTTCCCTTGCCACTTTGTGCTCCCGGCATAGATGGTCTTGAAAAAGTCGCCCAAACGAGCACTTGGAACCTGAGCAGTTGCCGTTTTGCCATGATTTGCCTGGATCGCAATTTGCAGTTTTCTCCCTTAAACTCATGAATGACTGAGAAGTAAATCATCGTAAATCTGCTTCGCACCTCGATTGTGACTGTACTCTAAAGCCATCTAAAGCAAATGCCCAGTTGAAATCCGCTGAGCTTCTGTACTGGAGATGGCATGAAAGACGCGTAGCTGCGACGCGACTCGTCACTCAAGACCACTTTCCACTTCAAGCCCTGGCAAACCAATGCATGACCACATTCAGATGATTTTAGATGCAAGATTAGTTGCTTCCCAAGTTGGCCATGGGCTCCCAACTGTGGCACACCCATTTACAGGTATAAGGTATAAGTATAATTATGACATTTCATGACCTGTTGCTATTACATGTGTGTCGCTGCAGTGATCTCCCACGGCCTTTGGTGCCAGCTCGTGAATCAGCTTCAAACCATTGGACGAACGAGGCTCCTGTGGCTTCAAATGAGTACCCGGATCATTTTGCAGCACGGGATAAGGATCATTTTGCAACACAACAGGGACAGTACCGATAAGGATCATTTCTCAACACAGATCACTAGTTTTAACTTGGGGAGCAGGGGAACAGAGGTTGGGGTTGGGGGGGACAGGGGGAATACGGGTAGGGGTTGGGGGGGACAAGGGGGACAACTTCCAACTAACTCACATTACAACCTTGTAGGGTTTAACCTGGATAGGGGACAAAGGTAAGGGGTTAAGGGGGGACAGAGGGGACAGGATGCACAAGGACTCCAACTAACATTACAACCTTTTAGGGTTTAACCTCAGGGGGAGACAAAGGAGGTTGGGGCTATCCTATTTTATTTCATTCCACGCGAGGTTTGCTCCAGGGCTGGCACCACAGAAACCTTTGCAATCATTTACACACAAAGATTTTACACGCAAAAGCTTCCAAACAAACAAGCCTTTACACAGAGCAGCTTTTGCACACAAATACCTTTACACACAGAAACTTGTACACAGAGAAGCCAGAAGCCTTTACATTGAGCAGCCTTTTCACACAGAAGCTTTTGCACGCAGACGCTTTTACAAAGCCCTTTTACACAGAGAACCCTTTACACAGAGAACCTGTTGCACACAGACTGATGATGATGATGATGATGATGATGATGATGATGATGATGATGATGATGATGATGATGATGATGGAGATGATGGAGATGGAGGTTGCTTCGTATGATCCCGCGTTTCAAACCGAACTCCTTTCCGCTTCAGATCTACATAATGGTCCCAGCAAAGCAGCAAAGCTCCTCCCAGGTGTCGCCCCACTTTGGAGGTGGTTCTCCTGGGCCTGGAGTCAGGCGCCAGCAGATCCTGGATGGTTTACCCAGGTGCCCCTCTACAAAATCTAACCTGGAAAGGGAACATCTACTTTTTACGGGTGATTTGTTCCATGACATTCCCTTATTCTATTCCATGTTCCCGTCAACGATTGGTTTTCCCATTGTCAGGTTGGAGTGCCGGAGGGTCATGCCATCCGGGAAACAAGGCTGCCAAGGCCCTGGCTTTTCCTGCCATGAAGATTTACACAGAGGGCAAGTCCGAGTCCAAACAAGTCCAAACAAGTCCAAACACCTTGCCCTGCTGGAGACACAGTACACCTGTTCCAACCTGTGCATCCAGGAAGACCCAGGCAGATACCAATGATGAAATGAATCGATTTCTTCCAATTTTGCCAGTGAGACGGCTGGCGATTCTTCCGTCGCCTTAGTTCACAATTCCAAAACAGCTGGGAGTGGCAATGAAATCTGGAGCGCATCGGCGAACAGAACCAAAGTTGGTGACTTTGTGAAACAAATGTCTAATAATGATTAATAATGCATACACTCCTGTATGATGAAGCCAAGTGACCTTTTCTTTGCCCGCTTTGGTGTGTTGCTATGATCCCTGAACAAAAAAATCTGCAGAGACCGAAATCAAGCCAGAAATGCACAGCAACGTTGCAAAGCTGGCAGGATTGTAGGCTCCATTTGAACTGGTTACTGTATATTGATGTATATTGCATATCTGCAGACTCCATTTGAACTGGTTACTGTATATTGATGTATATATACAGCATATCAATATCTCCTGGTTGTAATCACTGTCAGGTCAATGCTGGCCTTTCTTCCGCTGAATCCTTGGGTTCCTTCCTCATTCCTGACATGTCCGGTACCGAAGCAAGCATAATTCACGTCGGACAGCACCCGAGAGTTCAGCATCGTTCGAAGTCACTTGTCTTGGCAGAAACATGCAGAAACATTCTCCACAGGGAGAGCCTGGTGTTGTTTGGCCCATTTTGGCCCAAAAAACAGCAAAAAAAACTGTGTTCATAAACATATGGTAGTCCAATGCATTCTAGTGATCTGGCAACATCGATTTCCCATGACTGTTCTTTGTGATGTGAGGGCCGTGTTGGCCTGACACATCAGATCAGTGAGACTCGAGGCGAAGAAATACATCGCGTTTGCGATTTGCACCGAACTATTTGCTGCTTGGTATGGTTCAAGTCAGCACCTGGGCCTACAGTAGCATCTGCACACTCACCAGATTATTTGGAAAAAAAGACCGCATACATCAAGCAAACCCAAACAATATCAACAAACCACTATCCACGGTGTTCTGACCTAGGTTTCCACAAGCAAATGTTGGCAAATGAATGGCAAATGCAATTGAATGAGGATGTCCCTCAATTCATCTACTAGGAGTCCTATATCTACCATTGCTTCCAAGCATTCCAAGCCGGAAAAGCCGGAAATGTTCAGCCATGTTCAGCCGCTCACAGGTGCGGAATGTCTGAAGGTCCTTTCATCAGCTTCCGGGCGATGTCCTTGCACTTCACTCGGCCCAAGCCATCTCTGGGCAAACCCGACAAAATCTTGTCCACTTCCCCGAACGTGACCGCGTCCCCAAAGCCATGCAGAATTTCCTGCGGAAATTCAACTTTGCCACCAAAAAAAGGCAAAGCCCTTGTGTTTTAGGGGCAGGGGGTCTTGGCCAATCTGCTGATGATTTCTTGTGCCCAGATTTCACACGTTGCAAATTTCAAATGATAGTTGACTATCATACACTGATTCATACAATATGAATCAATAATATGATACAATACGGATCAATACGTTAATTATGTGCCCAAACACGCACTGGCGGCTGGCGCCTTGTTAAATCGTGAAATTCTTGGACCTCGAGAGATCTAAAATGAGCAAAGACTTGCGCGGCCGAGTCACATGGAAATTGGAAATTGGAGTAAGGAATGATGGCAAGGGCGAATAGCATATTAAACACCCTGCAAAAGGAATGAAAACCTTCCACCAGACATCAGGAGACGCCAAGCGGACTATGGCAATATCCACCTGCTCTTGGCAAGAGTTTTGAAAGTTTTGAATGTCTTGACGCCAAAACCCCTGCAAAAACTGTCCCTGTCCTTCAGCCCCTTTGGCTCAAGTGTATCAGTCTTCGTCAGGTCCAAAGTTCTCAGGGCATCAAAAAGTTGGTATTCGTTGAGCAAGGGCTTCTCGGCAGCCGTTTCGTAGAGTGACAAGAAATCTTCCAGCTGGATACCTGAGTATAAAAAGTTGGTCAAAACGCAACACCTTGCCCTAGGTGGAATCGAAGCGATGGAAAAATATGAAAAACATGAACATACTCGAGAAAGTTCAAAGCACCACAAGAATCACAAGAATCACAAGATGTTTTTCACATTTCTTCACCAAAAGACCTTCATTTGGAACTTTGGTCATCAGCTCCTTGAGATCTGCTGCAGTTGGGGCTCTTCCGCATCCACGAAGAAGTTTGGGCACTTCCACCTTGGGGACGACTAATGGTAAGCCCTTGCGTTTTCGGGCCCGCCCACCTTCGGCCATTAGTCCCAGGAATTCAAAGCCCTTGGCCATCTCAGTCCTTTGTTCCTTCGTCAAGCTGGCGCCTGGCGGCACTTGAATTTCCATTACGGAATTGATGGAGAAGGCAAAAAAGGCCGGGCAGGCAAGATTGAACTGCAAAGTTTGAGCCAAGACCCTCTTCATGCATGACCAAGTCAGAAATCCGAACAAACATGAAGACATATGAAGACCACAATCGCCCAGTCTCAAGCTCAGATACATCTTCTGCATCCACCCTTGTTTATGTGTTCCATCACCGACAATTAATATGTGCTTGGCCGCTTCAACCCATCCTATAAAGATACGTTCGTAACTGAAGATAATCATCCTAAATACATGGTGGTTGAATGTCGTTGACTACAAACGAATATCTCAAAAAATCTGAAAGTGCCTGGTGGATCTGGCGGTGTCAAAGACTTTGTGAACACCGTTGCCTGTTGATGCCACACATTGCCACAAGGGTCCCTGTAGCATCTCATGGCCTTTTCGTCCACCCTGTCGATGATGAATCTTCGGCCGAGCCTGTCCCGAAGCCCGGCAGTCATATATTTGAACCAGTCATCCTCATTAGATATCATTAGATATCATTAGAATTCTACGATATTCAACATCCCATCCAGATAGGTGACTATGATATACTATGATCTTTGCGCAGGTGCATCATATTCTCATCATAATCTCAGCTGGAGTGGATCAGCAACCTGTGCTATGTGCGACGCCTCTAGTCGCCCATAGCCGATGTCTTGATTCATAGGTGGAGGGCCGTACCTCCAGGCTGGTGCTGGCGTGCTGGCATCACATTCCACCGGCTTTGTTGATGTCTCTGGTAGGCTGTTTGGGGTGTTTAATGGTGTTGACTTGGTGGAGTTTTAGGGAAGGTATCTACAGTAATTAGTGTCGTCATAGCGTCACTAATGTGACCCATGATAGAACTTCGGATCAGCATGATCAGCCCGACAGCCCAACTATGCCCAACTGTTCAACCGAACTCGCCACGGTTTCGCCCCAGCTGACTGTAGCTCCTCTTTTGTTTTCACAGCTGCTTCACATCCGCCGGTCACACTTTGCCAGACGTTGCTTCGGCAAGCCGCAGCTGGAGATAAGATCTTCGAGGTTGACCAGTTCTGACTGATTCTGACTCATTGCCCGCTGGATCTTGGAAGCAGGATATGACATGTGGCCATTGAACAATTGCTAAATGCATCTACTAGAGGTGGGTTACCACTATCCCATACTATCCCTATAGCATAACCATGTAGTGTATAATTATCTATGTCATAACTAATCATAACTAATCAACAATGGGTCATTTTGAATCGCTCACCTTTTCTTGCCCACTGGATTGTAGGCCATGAAGGTGGCTATGGACTTCAAAAGCTCTTGGTCGCCCACGGCTTGAGCCCGACTGTTGATGTGCAAGACATCCTGCATGCTACCCAAGCGCTGCGCAATGTGAAAGGCACCCTGCAGGTTTCCAATCAGAATCCTTGGAGGTGCTGAATAGCTGGAGCCCATGGGGGAAATTAAAACACCTATCTATGAGTCATGAGTCAGTATAATATCGTGGATTTCCCATTGGGGAGAAAATCATATAGAGAACATAATATGATCTTCGGCTTAAATCCGGGAATCATGGCATCCATCTTACATCTTTCATCCTGAATGAAAGGCACCAACTGGGATGCAGCAGAGCGATCTGCATTCAACTCCTCCTTTTCGATGATCCAAATGTTCACGACGTTGGACACCAGGCTGTCCCATTCCACTGGTGGCAACTTGGGAATGGCCTGAAGGAACTTCACCACTGGAGCGATGGATCCCCCCACGCCATTGCGCGCCTGCTGTGTTGCGATCTGGTTGGAAGCGCGGATACACAGCTCCACCGCAGGGAGGTCCAGGAAATCCATGACTTTCTGTGCCAATTTGAAGTGACCATTCACCATCAACAGCTCTGCCACTTCACATTGTGCTGGCAGGTCCCCAAAGAGGGTGGCATTCTGTGGCATCTCAGTAGGCATGGCCTCACAAACGGCTCGTTGGATGCGGACCGTCTCCAAGTTGCGCTTGATGTCGGTGGCACCTGCTTCGTTGATGTCTCCAGCAGCTTCTCCAGAGATGATCGCTTCATGGGTTACAGCGGTAGTGGCGCTGGCATCGGGCACATCTGCACCGCCATCTTTACTTTCACCCTTCCTTTTGCTCATGACCTTTCGGTGGGCAAAGCCCAAGTGTGCTTCAGCATTTTGCAGATGTCCTACTCTGGCATCCCAGGTGGAGGATTGTACAAAGAGCTGCACAGCCAGGAAGCCAGCATTCACATAGTTCTTGGTAAAGACTTCATATGAGTAGAGCAAGTCCAATGCACGTCTGTCACGCAGGAAGTCCTTGACGGAATTCAGGTACTCCTGCACCCTTCGCAGAGAAGGATCAAAGTCTAAAATGACCTTCTGAAGCTCATGGAATTGATTGTGCGCCAGGCAATGATGCGCCACCACATCTACGAAGAGGCGCTTGTCAACCTTCTCGCTGAAAATGAACTGACAAGCTTTCGCCAGCCTCCGTTCCCGAACCAGCAAACTGATCAGGGATTCAGCAGATCCATATTTGTCTTGGAATTGAAGCAACTCTTGAAATGCCTGAGCACTCAAAGGCCTGCCAAGGCCTTTAACTCCAGCCAGATTCATTGGAGCTGCCAGGGGCAAGGCCATGGGGCTGGCAGGCATAAAGCTATGCGTTTGCCGATCCTCAGGCCAAAAATTGCTGGGACTTCTCAAGTTATGCAAGGTGGCCGAACAAGCGCAACAGACACTCGCCATGTCCATGGTTAGCTTGTCGTAACTGATCTCAGGGATCAAATTGGCATCATCTTCCTGTGATTGGTGGCTTCAACCCGCCAATCCCAAAAATAAAAGCCTGCTGGGGGTCGCAAAATCAAGAACATTCAAGAACCGTATCCCATTGTGTTTGGTGAACGGAAAAGGTATCCAATGTATCTTTAAAACATAGTGAAACTAACCGTAACTAACCAGTCCTCTTCAAAGACTGGATCTGCCACCTCCTCGACCACTCCTTCTTCGGGTCGATCTTTGTCCCGAGATTTCTCATCTGCAGCAGATTGACCTGGATATCCTCCTGATGGGTTGCCACAAGGACCCCGGATACAAATTGTACCAAGAAAACGATGGTGAAATCACCAATGCTTCACCCTTGGTGGCTATCTTTTACCTATGGGTTGGAGCAACCCTGTCCTGGTTTGGGTTCTTCAGGAGCTTTCACTTCAGCAGAATTGGCATCAGCCTTTGGATGGCCAGCCTTCAGGGTCCCCATCCAACATTCCAAGATTGTCCAATAAAACCATCAATGCCTGATTCCACACACCCCCTTCCAAGCATGAATAGAATGCCGGTGAATTATATACCAAATCATTCAGTACCAGAAAGACTTATATAAAGGTGTCTGATGATTCGCACCTTTGCTGTCTTGTTGCGTAGGGTGACCATGTCCGTCAGGGTGGACCAGCGCGACATTTCTGAGGGATGGATGGGTGGCGTGAGGAAAGTCACAGAGTTCACCAAGGTCGTCTGTTGCACGTCTTTCACCTTGGCAGCCTTGGCAGTGGCCATATCCAAACGTCATATCCGCAGGATCTGATTCATACAAGATACTACTGATATTCAATCGTGCTCAGCCCACACATCCTTTCCTTGCCGGGGCTTCCACATTCATCAACAATATAAATAGTTCCTGAAGCATCCTCAAGTGAATGTATCATCATTTATCAGTTATATCACTACATACTGACGGTTACAACCCAATAAATATGATTGTTAAACTACTGTCAAACGACTAGTCTACCAGGGATATATATATATATATATATATTAATTACAGTAACTATACGCAACCCCCCCCCCTTTCGCCTACGCAACTTTTGGCGGGTTGCAAAGGATATTGGCTGAAGGGAATCTTAAAGAGTTTCTAGGGGATCATCAAATCCCCACCACCCGTTAAACTTTATATTCAAGGGAATGTTCAAGGAGTTTAGGATTTAGGGTGTAGGATTTAGAGTTGATGATGTTGATGATGTTGATGATGATAATAATGACGATGATGATGCTGCAACATTCAACGCACAGGTTGCTAAGCTGTGCGTTGCAAGACGAAAGCCATGATCATGGACATGTGCATTTTGTCCCACAAAACACAGTGTTTTTTAATGGTCGGACAGGTGGACGTCGGCGCGGGCAAGAGGAATGGTTCGCCCGTAACTATACTCTTGGCTGTACATCAAATATAGAACATTGCAACATTACATCAAAATCTCTCTCTCTCTCTCTCTGTCTCTCTCCATCGCCATCTCAGGGAGATCAGCAGTGAAGCTGAAGGATATATCCTCATGAAATTGTCATCAACTTGTCATTCTATCAAGCTAAATCGCAAAATGCGAGATATTTTCGGAATATCTGTCACTGTACAATATCAATACAGCATCAAAAAATACCATAAAATCTCATAACTCATAACCAATATTACACAAGTATAATATATCCCAATCAATTACTATAATTAATTATATCGGTGGGTTCTTATAATGGGGAATCCCCGAAACCATAGTGTCAATACTAAAATAGCCTAATTTTGATAAATTTTGGATGATTTGGGATATCCCAACACCATCCGCGCAGCCCAGCCACGTCATTCCATTTGCTCCGTCGATGTAGCGCATCCCGTAGCCGATCCTCCAGCGCCGACGCAGAGGTCGCCGGAGCGGTCGCCGTGCCGTTCTGGGCGCCCGCCTTGCGCATCTTTTATACGAAATGTTGAGGATTTGTTGGCTGGATTTACGTTGAATAATATAAGTACATATATATATATGTAATATATATAATATATATATATATATAATATATATATATGTGATATATATATATATGATATACCAAGATATATCCATGCATAATCATGTATACAATGTGTACATATATATATAATATAGGTACGTAGTGTATTGTAATGTAATGTTGTGTTACGTAATGCAATGTAATTTATGTATGTATGTAATTATGTATGTAACAATGTATGTGTGTGTTTTAAACAATAAATTAATACTAGCTAAATTCTATGAGATCTATTTACAGTAGATATTGTGAGATGTATTGAAAACCACTAGACAGTACTAGAAGGTACTAGATATTATGCTGGAATGCTCCCAAAGATGGACCCTGCAACTAGGCCACCTTTGCATTGAAAACAGCTTCCGGAGATTGGCTGATCGGCACAACTGGCACAGAGACTGCTTCTTCTGAACGGTCCGGCTGCATGAAGATTGGCAAACTGGCCATGGTGGCCTCAGAGCATCGCGGTCTGAACCCCTTGAAACCAAGGTTTCAGTCCAAACCTTTAAGGTTGGGGTCCAGTATATCCTCCAAACTGGCTACTTACCATTGGATAGGCTTGGGGGCGGCAGATTTGTAAGAAAAATCGTGGCCTTCAGATCGATGCTTCCAAACATGGTCAATGCCCAGCACTGCTGGAGATTTAAATGACAAACGCTGCTACTGTTCATATGCTCTCAACGAAAAGTCAAACATCCATTCGATGTTCTGCCTATTATGGACCCCCAAAACAGAATAGATCCATTTCAATAACGACAAACCAAAGCTTCTGGATCGTGTTTTGAATGCCAGACCGACTGGGACCTAATACATTGATTTTTTTACAAACATCTTGAAAGTGTCGCAATACCTATACAATCATACAATCATATACAGTACATACATGTACAGTACATTGTCCTTGTGGGTGCCCACTATTATTGTGCGATCCACGGATTTCAAAGTGAGCAACAGTGGAGCGGTACAACTTTCTCTGCAAGCGGTTGAAGGTGTAAATGCTTCGCTGCTGCTCCAGGGCAGCCAAGTCGTACAGGGGTGGATAGCGCATCGCATCCTCAAAGGCACTGAGCGCATTTTCAGATGCTTGTCGGCCAGCAGAGCCTGCCTCATCAGTCATGCTGAATTCCTGTCGAGCTTCTTCAAATAAACTGAGGCGTTGAAGTGCCACTGCCTGGGCTTCCCTCACTGGATCAGCTGAAATGTGCCAGCCCTGGGTCTCACTTCGCTCCAAGGGCGAACATCGCTTGCACAACTCCAAGGCCAAGTGGAGGTGATCTTCCTTCACCAAGGCATCCCTTAGCTGGGCAGCCTCTGTGGCATCACAGAGCTGGGCCAAGCTGACCCTCTTGCCGCTGACATGCCATAGACGCGGCAGGAAGTCCAAGTTGTTACAACTGAGTTGCAGCTTCAGTTGGACTTCCCGGCCACTGCCAGCACTGCCAGCACCCGAAAATTTGCTTTGCAGGTACTTCAGTAAGCGCCTAATCAGAAATGTCAACAAGCGAGCTGACTTTGCTGCAGGTGGCTGAGAAGATGAAGCGTCAGAAGTCGTCAGATCGTATAAGCGAAGGGAGAGATCATCACAAATGTGGAAGCAAGCAGCGGCATTCTCGGGACCATCAGAGCAAAGCTCCAAGATGCGTTCTGCCAAGTGGCTACTGGGTGCATCTTCAAAGTGGTGATGAGAACGAATCACTTGATCTGTCACAGACCCTGTCAAACACCATGGTCCGCCAAGACCTTCTGAGTCCATCGCAGATCTTGGCACATCAAAAGATGCTGCTCGAGCGTCCTCGCCTTGCTCTCTTTGATCAACTAGACCCAGGGCCTTGCGAGCATAGCGTAGAATCAGCTGGTCATGACGGTATTCCGGAAAATCTTCCAGGAACTTTTTGAGAAGATCCACCCGAGCATTCATCAGAAGGCTTTCCACAATCAGCTCAGGCTTCCTCAGCAGCTTTAGGAAGTGCGGTTTCATGGTCTCACTAACCTCTTGCAGCAGTTGCAATGACGCCAGAAGTACACGAAGCCTTTCCTCCTCTGCGGACGACAGCCACGATTGAAATTGAGTGAGGAGCATTTGGCATAGAAGCGCCCGGTGCTGGATCACGTCAAACATGTCTAGCAGTTGCAGTGCAAAGGAAACTGCCTGTGAAGGAGGAAGTGAGAGCAGTCGGTTCACTGCATTGGTCTTGTCGTTTTTGGTAGTGAAAAGGTAGTGCAAGCGCGACAGTTCTAGAGAGTGCAAAGGATCTGTCATGCCATACCTCAGCGGATGTGTTTTGATCTTACCAAGGCCTTCCAACCAAGTTCTGACATGAGGAATAGGGTGGGAAAGCCGTAGAATAAAACACATATGCCACAACAAACCAAGTCAAAGTCAAGACTACTATGCAAACAAGACATAACAAAACCCCAAAAAGGAATACAGAATGAAAAAATGCAAAAGAAAAAAGACTTCATCAGCAAATGGATGAGTACATCTGCGCCAGTGTCCTCGCCATGTCATGCTGCTGAAGGGAAAGCAAATGCTCAACAGCTTCACTGACCTGCGCCTTGCCTGGTTGCTTCAGCAAACGCAGCTTCTCTGGGAAAAATGTGCCGACTATGTGGTTGTGCTGTCATTGTAGCTATTTCTTGGGTTGAGATGGGTTGAGTATTGAGTACAGCTTGGGACTTGCGCATGGATGTGCGACCGAAGTTTCAGACTCCTCCTTGAGTTCATGTCAGTCAAAATCTGTAGTCTTGGAGAAATGTCACAGTCTGCACCATATCTTTTTTTTGAGAGAACAGGGGCAGAAACAAAAAGTGGACTGTTAGGCTGCTAAACCCAGTTGCTCATATCTTCGATTTCCTGCCAAACTTGCCATCGCCCCTCTGATGCCTGAAGAATCTTCTCAAATGAGACCTAGCTGCTGCAGAACAACCCTGGCACATCAAAGTAAACACAGTCCGACCACAACATGCAACAAAACCTGCTCCAATTCTGGATTGTGATGGTAGCGTTCAGTGTTCAGGGGCTACTGTAGAACTGCAACAGGTGAAGCCAAGTTACCATCCTTTGCAGGATTCGCCGGAGTTCCTGCTTCAAAGCAGCCGCACGACTGGCCTCAGTGTTACCTGAGGGCTCTTGTTCAATGCGTTGCAAGCACATCGACAGGGTCTGCACGGCAGTATCCACATCCCAACACTTGTAGCGATCCAGCGTCAATTGTGCAGCTATTGCGTGGCTTTTCACACGGTACATGCACTCATGATCCAGCAATTCATGCACTGCATCCATCTCTGGTTTCGTAGCGCTGGGGCTATTCAAGTAAAGATGCAGGACCTTGTCAGTCAGCAAACTATCCACCGGCAAATGCTCATCACAAATCTGCAGGGCTAGCTCATGCTGTCCTTCTGCAATGAGTGCATTCACCAGCTGCGTATATGCAGCTGACATGCAGGCCTCCTGATCATCACCCGCAGCTCTAAGGGCCAGCTGCTCATCTTCACTGAAACTTGCAAACTCAGCTTCCGTATAGCCACTGCATTCCATGCCATCTGCCAGTGCTTGCTGACTCTGGGATCGGCCCAGCAGTAAGGGGGGCAAACCTCTGGCAGCTGGATGGGAAGAATCTACCCATTGAATGGCCTGCAAAATGGTTTGCCGTTCCTCCACCCATCGGTGTAAGGCGGGGAAATGGTGGCTCTGCTCCTTTGCAAAGTGTAACATTTGCCACGAGGGCCAGCGATGTCCACGGCATTCCAAGCATGCCAGGGTCGCCAGCAGCGGCGCCTCCTTACACAAAACCAACGGCAACTCCCGCTCGTGTTGAGCCAGGTATTGGACCACCTCCATAGACATGGGATATTCAGGAAGTGAAGCGAATGAATTTTGGCCTCTGGGCTGCACTCCATCAGACCACTTGAAGGATGAATTCACAATCACCTCCACGATGTCAATGTTCATCATCTCTGACAGTGCTAATGCTTGCCGATGGCCGCCCAGCTCGAACAGCAGTCGGGCCACGATGCCTTTGGGAGCTTCGGCGAGCACATCAAACAGCTTGGTGACACCTGCTGCTTCTGGATCTTCCTCATCACCTTTGGCATCTGCTTCATGATCTTCATGGCTTTCAAGGGCAATGGTCACCGTTTCGCGCGTTTCGCGCTTCTCACTGGGCACAGCTAGGGCACTTGGGGCGGTGGCCTCTGTCTTGCCCTTGGGTTTGCGCAAACCAGCGTCCAGGGAAGCAGAGTGCATCAAGTCAGCGACGCGTGCCAAGTACTCCAAGAAGCGCAGCAAATACCTCTGCCAGCCGAAAAATGCTTGATTTTTCACATTTTTTCCATGAACAAGTGGTGCCCGGAAAAAAGAACAAGTGAGCCGTAATTAGTCAAAAAAAAAGTCCGGCACAACTGCACACCTGATCCATTTACATCTATATACATGTTTGTTGGTCTCAAAGTCGGGGTTCCCCCAAGTAATTAGTGGCATTTAAAAAATGAGCAAAACATAAACAACGAATGACAACCTGATTTTCTAGATCATTGGAATACCATCAGATTGAATTTAGGATGCGCCCATGATCAGCTCATATCAGCTCCCCGCGCCTAGAGGATCCCAAACCTTCAGAGATCTGCACCGCTTCTTCACGGTCCTCAGGTGCCTTGGAATCTTTGGAGGAGTCCTCCTCTTCACGGTTGAAGGAAGTGATGGTGGTGGACAGGAAATCCACCAAGGTTCTCCTCATCCGAACGCCACATCCGAAGGGATTCGAAGGCACAGTTCTGTGGAGTTTCCCTTGTGTTTTTTGGGTCTAGCATGGCCTAGCTCGATCTGAGTTGCCAATCCCAGTCCATCATGAATTTTCATCAAGTGACAACTCGTGTGATTTATGGGAAAACGATATTGATTTTGAATTTGTTATGTGGTCCGGATTTTTTTTTTTTGAGTAAAACCCAGCGGAGAGTTGGTTCATCATTACCTTAGCCTTGTTGAAGGTGTACAAAAAAGTGTTGGCTTCATATAAGGCCAGGCTGACTAAGTATCATGTCATGGGTTCGGCTGAATGCTGATGGGCTTTCCGATCTTAGCTGTGCACAAGATACACAAGGGTGGCAAACAAACAAAGTGGCTTCCCATGAAAGGAATCAGTAGGAGGCCATCGTTGTAACATACGAGTAGTTTTACCCTTTAACCAACATCATTACCAACATGGCATCATTATCAACATGTTCAACATCTACCAGTAGTACCGCACAAGGCGGTGGCGGAAGTTTCAAAAATAGGAAACCTATAGGAGAGGTCGGTTGTTGTGAATCACGGATGGCAGAGCGAATCCACTGATGGACCGAAAGGTGCTGAAGGTCTCCTCTCTTTCTCTCTCTTTCTCTGACTATCTACCTACCTACCTACCTATCTATCTATCTATCGATC